TCAACAAGAAAACAACCCAGCTCAGAGAGCACCAAGGACCCCCCAGTCCTGCTCTTCCTCTTCTTCTTCCCCCACCCTGCAAACCCCATTCCCTTCTAGCACTGAGGATGTTACCTAGTTTAGTACTGAAACGTCTGTAGGAAAATCACCAAGTCAGAGAGTACCAAGGGCACCTCATTTCAACCCTGAGCTACAAATATTTTCTTTATTGGTACCATTCTCGCCTTCAGATGCCCCCCACCACAATAGAGTAGGACCCCCGAGAATTGGAGGCCAGTGCTGACAGTCCCTTCCTTCCTTCCTTCCTTCCTTCCTTCCTTCCTTCCTTCCTTCCTTCCTTCCTTCCTTCCTTCCTTCACATACATACATACATACATACATACATACATACATACATATTTTATTTATTTATTTAATTTGTCAAACATGTACAAGATAACAGGTATAAGTATAAACATGGATATGAACATAGGAAATCAGTAGAAATAAATGGGGACAGTAGGACAGGGACGGTAGGCACGCTGGTGTGCTTATGCACGCTCCCTTTACGGACCTCTTAGGAATGGGGTGAGGTCAACAGTAGACAGTCTAAGGTTAAAGTTATGGGGGTTTGGGGCAGGGGTGTGTTCCAGGGGTGAAATCCAGCAGGTTCTAACAGGTTCGGGAGAACCCGTAGCGGAAATTTTGGGTAGTTTGGTGAACCAGCACGGTAGACGGTTTGAGGTTGAAGGCTGTAACAACAGAGTCGGGTAGAGCATTCCAGGCATTGACCACTCTGTTGCTGAAGTCGTATTTTCTACAATCGAGTTTGGAGCGGTTTACCCTGAGTTCGTATCGATTGTTTGTCCGTGTGTTATTGCAGTTGAAGCTGAAGTAGTCGTTGACAGGTAGGACATCGTAGCAGACGATTTTGTGTACTATGCTTAGGTCAGACTGTAGGTGGCACAGTTCCAGGTTGTCCAGGCCCAACATTTCGAGCCTGGTGGCATAAGGGATTCTGTTGTGAGCAGAGGAGTTGAGTACTGGTGAAATATACATACATACATTGCTCTTTGCAACCTTCTGATAATTTTGAAACACCGAGAGTGCTTCATCCCCACGAAAAGAGCAATTTGCTCTCGGTCTTACAATAAACCGGTCACCGCACCGCACCGGCTCGGAGTGGATCGCTATTCCACTTAACGGCCGACTGGCGAAGATGCTATTTGACATCTGCACGGAAAGGTGGCTCATGTCACAGCACTTGATTCCACCCAATGCAGCAATGCATCACCGAACCCACTAATAAAAACCTCCAGCCGTTTGCTGTCAGCCTTAACTCCGGAAGGATGAAAAGCAAGCTGGGAGAAAAACACCTGTGTTTATGGGCAGGGACAATTTCCCGAAGCGTGTCTTGTTTTTTTTTAAAAAAAAAAACATGTTCTGGATCCAATCCTTTTTCATCTGTCTGCTTCTCTGTCCCTTTTTTTTTTTAAAAAAACCCAACCACGACAGTCATTTGCTTACACGGTAGCCGAGCTGACACATAATTAAAACAAGAAATCAATGGACTAATGAAATCCATCTGGCTGCTCGCCTTTTTTTGATTTATCTTGCTCCCGGCTCGTTCAGCCAGGTGATGAGAAGTTCCTAGCAAGACGGATGAGCATGAAGTTTTGGGCCTGGAGGACGTCTGGATGAGCAATCGGAATCCTATCGGGAGTGGAAAAAAAACCAGGGCGACGTTGCTGTCAATAGGACCACACAAACCATGTGGCTGATTTCTTTAAACAATTTAATGGGAAGGATCTTCAATTTATGCTCGCTTCTCCCAAGCTATGAGGCTCAAGGCATCATAGCTCCCTAAATCTGGGATTTGTTGAGGTTAGGGGGAAAAAGCCAAGGTGGCGCAGTGGTTAGAGCGCAGTACTGCATCTACTTCAGCTGACTGCTAGTTCAGCAGATCAGCGGATCAAATCTCAGCGGCTCAAGGTTGACTCAGCCTTCCATCCTTCCGAGGTGGGTAAAATGAGGACCCAGATTGTTGGGGGCAATATGCTATTTAGTATACTGTCAATTGTTGTAAGCCGCCCAGAGTCCTCGGAGAGTGGGCGGCATAGAAATATGATAGATAGATAGATAGATAGATAGATAGATAGATAGATAAATAAAAAGAAGAAGAAATGACTGATGTTGTTTAATAGGTTCAGTGGTCGAAGGCAGATCTGTACCTGTGGCTCAGATTTATTCCCAATGCGCCAGCCCCAAAAAAACCAGACATTTTTCCACTGTTCAACTGTGGGGTCCTTGGTGCTCTCTCAGCTGGGTGGTTTTCTTGCAGACATTTCATGACCCAACTAGGTAACATCATCAGTGCTAGAAGGGAGTGGAGTTTGTGAGTGGAGAGGAGGAGGAGGAGGACGACTGTGCGGTCAATGATGCTGTGGGGTCAATTAGGGGAAAGGAGGAGGAGGAAGAGGAGTGGGGTGGAGTGTCCTTGGTGGTTCTCAACTATATAATAATAAGATATCCATTCTCTTCTAGAACTGATGATGTTATCTAGTCAGGTGATGAAACATCTGTAAGAAAACCACCAAGTCCAGAGCTCCACCAAGGAGCCGATAGTTCAACCCTGAGCTACAAATATTCTTTTCTATCGGTAGTTTGTACAACATTGTGCAACATACGGACGAAACCAGTTTATTTATCCCTGCTCAAGCAAACACTCATCTCTGACACACAAGCGGTTATCTTTGACCCACCTAAAATCTAAAGGCTCTCCGTCCCGACAACCACCGTATTTAGATACGCGAGCAAAGAGAAATCAAACTTTATCTACAGTAAAACGTGAAGACAATTGAATTTCCAGCCCATTCGATGAAAAAAAAAGGGGGGGCTTCAAATTAACCAGGTGTGACTTCAACGGCGGAGTATAAATCGAAGCCCTGTTGGAATCCTTCCTCTAATTTAGATATTTATCTCTAATTGCCATTTTACTGTTCTTAAGGACAAAACTTTGGCTGCGTTTTTTGCTGGCGGTGCAGTTTGTAGTTCAAGAACAGCCTGGCACTCTCCGTACTGCAGAGGGAGGAATTTTTCTGGTCAATCGGAGGACGATTATTATTATTATTTTTTAACTGTGCCATATTTGAGAATGATAATATTTTGTGGCTTTTAGAGCCAGCAATTCCCAACCAAATGAGACAATAATAAATGATAACCGGTAATCCTCTATTTAGGACCACAAATGAGCCCAAAATGTCCGTTTGCTAATTGAAACAGCAGTTAAGCGATTTTTGCTCCTGAGATGTATTTGAACGTAAGAATTCTGCTCTGTTTTAACACCTTTCTTGCCACCATTGTTGTTTTTTTTTTTTTTTTAATTTGATTTATATGCCGCTCTTCTCCGGAGACTCAGGGCGGCTTATAATGCGTTAAGCAATAGCCTTCATTCTTTTGTATATTTTATACAAAGTCAGCTTATTGCCCCCACAACTGGGTCCTCATTTCACCTACCTTAGAAAGGATGGAAGGCTGAGTCAACCTTGAGCCTTGGAGAGATTCGAACCAGCAGAAATTGCAGGCAGCTGTGTTAATAACAGGGTGCACTAAGCCACTGTACTATCAAGGCTCTGTTGTTAAGCGAATCACTGCAGCTGTTATGTTAGTAACACGGTTGTGAGGTTAAATCTGGCTTCCTTGTGGACTTTGCTTGTCTCTGGCCAAGCGCCTGGATTTTGTTCACATTTTGTTCAATGCTGCAACAGTTGTGAGTGTGACAAATGACCTTAAGTCCCTTTTTTTCAATGCCGTTGTAACTTGAACTGCTGTAACTCGAAAGCTATCTGTCTTTTGCTTACATTCCAGGCCATGCAATCCACCTGTTTTGTCGAGCAGTTCTTTTAGGAGGAAAATAATTTGAAATGGAAAATGGAAAGTGGAATGGAATGGGATGGGATGGGATGGGATAGGATAGGGTAGGGTAGGGTAGGATAGGATAGGATAGGATAGGATAGGATAGGATAGGATAGGATATCTTTACTGGCCAAATGTGATTGGACACACAAGGAATTTGTCTTTGGTGCATATGCTCTCAGTGTACATAAAAGAAAAGATACGTTCTTCAAGAATCATAAGGTACAACACTTAATGATAGTCATAGGGTACAAATAAGCATTATTTTCATTAAACTAGACATACCCAGTTCCAGCAACCGTTCTTCGTATGTTTTATCCTCCAGTCCCCTAATCATCTTGGTTGCTCTTCTCTGCACTCTTTCTAGAGTCTCCACATCTTTTTTACATCGCAGTGATCAAAACTGGATGCAGCATTCCAAGTGTGGCCTTACCAAGGCCTTATAAAGTGGTATTAACACTTCAAGTGCTCTTGATTCTATCCCTCTGTTTAGGCAGCCTAGAACTGTGTTGGCTTTTTTGGCAGCTGCTGCACATGGCTGGCTCATATTTAAGCAATTGTCCACTAGGACTCCAAGATCCCTCTCACAGGTTAAATTATCCCAACTCTTATATCGGTAAACTGAGATACAGATTAACAGAGTTGGAAGGGATCTTGTAGGTCATCTGGTTCAACCCCCCGCCCAAGGAGAAGACCTTACACCATTTCTGACAGATGGCAGTCCAGTTTCTTCTTGAAAGCTTCCAGGGATGAAGCTCCCACAACTTCTGAATGCAACTTCTCTTCCGTGGGTTGATTGTTCCCGCTGTCAGAAAATGTCTCCTTATTTCCAGGGTTGAATCTCTCCTTACAGGATATTACAGGACTTCTTTCAACAGCTCCAGAAGATTTTTTCAGTATCCACCAAAATTGCCCAGGGCTTGCAAATAAGGCAGGGTGGAGGGGTGTTTTTTTTTTTTTTGTTTTTTGAGATTCACACTTCCTTAACACTGGCAGCGAAAATATTGGAGCTGTGAATGTTGTTGGTTTTTAATTAAACGGCCTCTTTTCTCATGCTTAACTTCACCTTCTGATATAAACTTTGTCTTCGACACCCTTCCCCCCAGGCGCTCAAGGGCTCCAAGAAGCTGAACCTGACTGTCCATTCGGTGGGTCGCATCCCCGGCGGCTACAGAACCAACCACATCTACACCTGGGTGGACCCTCAAGGCCGGAGGGTCTCTCCCCCGGTCGGCCTGATTCAGCATCAGAGCAGCTCTTTGTGCAAAGAGAGTGAGAAAAGGAGCCACCTTCAACTTCTGCAGGAAGGGGATGAGAAAAAGGTGAGGACTAGCAGCTCTATTTTCTTACTGCCGTTCTTGTCTTTAGTGCAGGGATGATTAGGGATGTGTGAGTTCCTACTTGCAAACGGATTCAGAACGTTAGTTTAATCGGGGCCTCCAGCAAATGGACTCCTTTGTGCACAAGAGGCTGTTGGACCCTCAAATTTGGGGCGGGGGGAAGTAGGCTTCCCCAGCAGCACGAAGCCGAGTCCTCGTCCCGATAAACCCCTTTTATTTAATTCACAGTGAATTCCCCTCCAGCAAAGTCTTTCCTCTCCCACAGCCTTTCAAGATAGTTCACAATTACCGACCTTTATCAGGCTTGGAGAGTGGCCAGGCTGATATCTTTCAGACACCAAGAATGCAGGAATGAAGTAATTGTCTCCTGCAAACTCCCCTCCCCTGTCGCTCCTCTTTTATTCCCTCTGAAAGGGGCCATTCATCGTCCACCTGTGGCCTTACTCCTGAGTTGACCCTTGTTCTTTAGCTGTTTCCTTTGTCTGGCAACTCTGCGCATGCGCATACTGGGAACAGGCTCCAGCTGTTCATCAGCCTCACTGATGTCTGACTCCAAAGGCAGCTGATAACTGTCAGATGGCCCTGGCCCCCTCTCTGCCTCCGACGTAGAGCCTTCATCAGAGCCTTCCCCAGACTCCAGGACTGGCCCATGTTCCTCCCCAACCTCCTCACTGTCCGAATCTGCTGCCAAATCCGCTGGTGGGCCACAATAAGAGGTTGGAATCTTCTCACATTGATACAGAGGTCACCAGTTGCATTGGGCACTTGAAATGGATTTGGATCGGAAATGGAATGTTCCATTTGTCCAAAGGAAATATGGATCAATTTCGTTCTGGACCACCTCCATGTTCTGCCTAGAACATATTTGGCCTAGTGCAGAAGGAGGATGTTCATTGATCTGGGGTTGGCTGGATCCCAAGACCCTACAACTCCAACCAGATTGGCCAACAGTGAGAAAGGAAGAGTTCAATATAGTTCAACTTCAGGAAAGTTGGAGACCCCATCTTGTTTTAGGTAAGCTTGGAAAGAGCTTGGGAATTACAGAATAAAAGATTTGGAAGGGATCTTTGAAGTCTTCTAGTCCAATCTCCTGTCTGAACAGGAGGAGACCCTATACCATTTCAAACACAGGGTTGTCCAATCTCTTCTTAAAAACTTCTAGTGTTGGAACATTCACAACTTCTGGAGGCAAGTTGTTCCACTGGTTAATTGTTCTAACTGTCAGGAAATTTCTCCTTAGTTCTAAGTTGCTTCTCTCCTTGATGGGTTTCCACCCATTGCTTCTTGTCCTGCCTTCAGGTGCTTTGGAGAATAGCTTGACTCCCTCTTCTTTGGGGCAGCCCCTGAGATATTGGAACACCGCTGACTGATTTTCCTACTACTTACTTGGGCCTGGGTCACAACAGTTAGTCACGTTGGACTATGGTTTCTGTCCCATGTTTTCTGTCCTATCTTGTCTTTTTTTTTTAAGAACATCTAATTTAATATTAGTGCATTCCACTGGCTGGGTTCAATCCACCTATTTCACCAGATCATTTGCCAAGATAAAGATTGCAGTTGGACAACCTGCTGAGCTTGGTTAGCATTTCGTGGCTTGGTATGCTGTGGAAATCCATCGGGTTCGATTAGTTTATGATTCAATGGTTATAGAAAAATCGGAGTATGAACTAATATCAGACCCAGGCTAATGATGTTATGAAATGTGGTGAAAGCCAATTTTTTTTTACTACTGGTTCTGTGGGTGTGGCTTGGTGGGCGTGGTGTGGCTTGGTGGGCGTGACAGGGGAAGGAAACTGCAAAATCTCCAGTCCCACCCCACTCCAGGGGAAGGATACTGCAAAATCCCCATTCCCACCCCACTCTGGGGCCAGCCAGAGGCGGTATTTGCCGGTTCTCCGAACTACTCAAAATTTCCGCTACCGGTTCTCCGAACTGCTCAAACTATGAATTGCCTTTGGAGATAGGTGGCTTAAACTTTATAGGTCTTACCCATAAGTAAACACGAGGATTTTTTCTTAAAGTTCGGGATGCTGAATCCAAATCCCTTTGAAAAGAATTTAGATTTCCAACGGGAGCTTTTGCTCACCCTTAAATCAAAATTCCCTTTTTTTCCCGTTTCAGACGATCCAAGATTATTACGCACATATTTCCCACAAGCACTGATCAATGGGCTTGCTTAAGGTGGATTCAGTCTATTCTGAGTTAACGTTTCGTCAAGGCCCATAAAGACTCCTTCCTTCTTTTCACTGTATTTCTCATCTCTGTTCCACTGGAACGACAATAGGATTTTCCAGCCCCGCTTTGGCCAAACAGGCTCTCTGAGACTGAGCTCCCAACTGCAGCGTGACTGATCAGTCGTAAAATGTTTACGGAAGCTGAAATTTTTCAAGCACATTTATAAATCGGTGATAGACAGCAGTGTTTTTTTGCTTTTGTTGGAATCCAGGAAAATGAGGCTATAAATAGACGAGAAGTCCTTAAGGTGTCTAACCGCCCAAGTCAGTTTCTGTCTTTAATCATTGTTAACAAAATAACAGAGTTGGAAGGGACCTTGGAGGTCTACTAGTCCAACCCCCTGCTCAAGCAGGAGACCCTATACTATTTCAAGCAAATGGTTGTCCAAATCTCTTGAAAATCTCCAGTGATGGAGCACCCAACAGCTTCTGAAGGCAAGTTAACTGGTTAATTGTTCTCACTGTCAGGAAAGTTCTAAGTTGCTTCTCTCCTTGATTAGTTTCCATCCGTTGCTTCTTGTCCTGCCTTCTGGTGCTTTGGAGAATAGGCTGACCCCTCTCTTTCTTTATGGCAGCCCCTCAAATATTGGAAGACTACTATCCTGTCTAGAATAGAATAGAATAGAATAGAATAGAATAGAATAGAATAGAATAGAATAGAATAGAGAAGAATGGAATGGAATGGAATGGAATGTAGAGTAGAGTAGAGTAGAATAGAATAGAATAGAATAGAATAGAATAGAATAGATAGAGAAGAATGGAATGGAATGGAATGGAATGTAGAGTAGAGTAGAATAGAATAGAATAGAATAGAATAGAATAGAATAGAATAGAATAGAATAGAATAGAATAGAGAAGAATGGAATGGAATGGAATGGAATGGAATGGAATGGAATGTAGAGTAGAGTAGAGTAGAGTAGAGTAGAGTAGAGTAGAGTAGAGTAGAATAGAATAGAGAAGAAGAATGGAATGGAATGGAATGTAGAGTAGAGTAGAGTAGAGTAGAGTAGAATAGAATAGAATAGAATAGAGAAGAATGGAATGGAATGGAATGTAGAGTAGAGTAGAATAGAATAGAATAGAATAGAATAGAATAGAATAGAATAGAATAGGAATGGAATGTAGAGTAGAATAGAATAGAATAAATAGAATAGAATAGAATAGAATAGAATAGAATAGAATAGAATAGAGAAGAATGGAATGGAATGGAATGGAATGGAATGAAATGGAATGGAATGGAATGTAGTAGAGTAGAGTAGAGTAGAGTAGAGTAGAGTAGAGTAGAGTAGAGTAGAGTAGAGTAGAATAGAATAGAGAAGAAGAATGGAATGGAATGTAGAGTAGAGTAGAGTAGAGTAGAGTAGAGTAGAGTAGAGTAGAGTAGAATAGAATAGAATAGAATAGAGAAGAATGGAATGGAATGGAATGTAGAGTAGAGTAGAGTAGAATAGAATAGAATAGAATAGAATAGAATAGAATAGAATAGAATAGAATAGAGAAGAATGGAATGGAATGGAATGGAATGTAGAGTAGAGTAGAGTAGAGTAGAATAGAATAGAATAGAATAGAATAGAATAGATAGAATAGAATAGAATAGAATAGAATAGAATAGAATAGAATAGAATAATAGAGTTGGAAGGGATCTTGGAGGTCTTCTAGTCCAATGCCCTGCTCAGGCAGGAAACCATCTACCATTTCAGATAAAAGGCTGTCCTATCTCTTCTTAAAAACTTCCAGTGTTTACAACTTCTGGAGGCAAGCCATTCCACTGATTAATTGTTCTCACTGTCAGGAAAGTTCTAAGTTGCTTCTCTCCTTGATGAGTTTCCACCCATTGCTTCTCATCCTGCCTTCTGGTGCTTTGGAGAATAAGTTGACTCTCTCTTCTTTGTGGCAGCCCCTGAGATATTGGAAGGCTGCTATCATGTCTTCCCTAGTCCTTCTTTTCATTAAACTAAATATACCCAGTTCCTGCAACCGTTCTTAGCCTTAGTAACTGTAGAAACAAATCTGAACTGAAAGCTCATTTCAGGGATCTGTTTAAAGAGAGGGGCAGGCTGTACCCCCCTCCCGAGGGGTGAACCCCCATTGATTAGGGCTGGGTTAGAGTTCAGTTTGAAACAGGTTCCTCTCAAATCAACTCGATAATGAATTTAGCTCGCATTTACCCACAAAAGCAGAGCAGTGTAATATCACTGGGGAAAAGAGGCAAACAGCAAAAAAAAAACAAACCTACCCCAACTCTATTTGTGAGCCTCCAATAAAGGCCATTTGCATAATTATGCAAAACTAAATGTATACGTTCCACCAGCCTTCGGAGCAGGAAGGGGAGAGGAAAAAGCCATTAGAAATGGGGAAAGTTGCCTTTCTCTCTCCCCCAGCCTTTCCTTTATTGCCGAGACTCAGCAAGAACATTTAACGGCAAGAAAAGCTTGTGTTTGTCGCGTTGCAAACCAAAGATTATGCTCTTTCTGTGTCTGTTTGTGAGAGAGAGAGGGAAAGAGGGAGAGGGAGAGAGAGGAAGGGAGAGAGGGAGGGAGAGAGAAAGGGACAGAAAGAGAGCAAGAGAGGGGGGACAGAGAAGGAGAGGGAGAGGGACAAAAAGAGAGGGAGAGAGAGGGAGAGAAAGAAAGAGAGGGAGGAAGGGGGGACAGAGAAGGACAGAGAGGGACAGAAAGAGGGAGGGAGAGGGAGAGAGGGAGAGAAAGAAAGAGAGGGAGGGAGAGAAAGAAAGAGAGGGAGGGAGGAACAGAAAGAGAGGGAGAGAGGGGGACAGAAAGGGAGAGAGAGGGACAGAAAGAGCGAGAGAGCGAGAGGGAGAGACAGAGAAAGTGGGAGAGAGGGAGAGAGAGAGGGAGAGAAAGAAAGAGAGAGGGGGCAGAAAGAGAGCGAGAGAGAAGATAGAAGGAGGGACAGGAAGAGAACGAGAGAGGGAGAGGGAGAGAGAGAGCAAGAGGGAGAGGGGGAGAGAGAGAGAGAGGGAAAGAGAGAAACAAAGAAAGAGGGAGGGAGAAAGAGAAGGGGGGACAGAAAGAGAACAAGAGAGAGAAGGAGGGAGGGAGAGGGGGACAGAAAGAGAGAGAGGGACAGAGAGAAAGAGAGGAGAGAGAGAGATTTGACAGCATCAGCAGGAGCATGACTCAGCAAGACAACTGGAACATATTTGCAAACAAACAAATAAAGGCAAGAATTGATGTCCTTTTCGCAGTTGTTCCTTCAAGGGAAGGACACTCTCCACTGATCGTCTTCCCCGTAGTTATTATTGTCTCCTCTTTTTCCTGGTTTTTCTCTGATCCTCGTGCCAAGCCTAAAATTATCCCTGGCTCCTGATTTTGGTTTCTACATGTCATCTGCATGACTGTAACCTTGTTGCTGGTATCCTTAAGATTTATATTAATTGTTTCCTAGTATGATTTGATTGCTTATTTGTTCCCTATGACTATCATTAAGTGTTGTACCTTATGATTCTTGACGAACGTCTCTTCTCTTTTTATGTACACTGAGAGCATATGCACCAAAGACAAATTCCTTGTATGTCCAATCACACTTGGCCAATAAAGAATTCTATTCTATTCTATTCTATTCTATTCTATTCTATTCTATTCTATTCTATTCTATTCTATTCTATTCTATTCTATTCTATTCTATTCTATCCTTGGTCTCTAAACTAAGCAGTTCTGACTTTTCTTTCGTCGTGGGACTCCAGTACAAATCTGTCTCCTCCCCGCCCTCTCAAAAGGGTTTGGACAACAGCTTGTCAGATCCCCCAAATTTTCTCTGTCCCCATCATTTTCCCTTTCTTTTTCCTTTGATCAAGCTAGAGCACCTTGGGGAGAAGAAAGGATTTTCAGGTGAATTTTCAAAGAGGAGATACTGAATGGTAAAAACGGAAAAAGACCACAAGAATCAGTTCATTCAACCTTAAAGGAAAACCAATATCAGTAAGAAGTGACTTTTTGGTCTGTTCTTAAAAGCTTCCAGAGATAGAATAATAGGGTTAGAAAGGATCTTGGAGCAGGGGAGAAATCCAGCAGGTTCTGACAAATTCTGGAGAACCGGTAGTGGAAATTTTGAGCAGTTTGGAGAACCGGCAAATACCACCTCTGGCTGGTCCCAGAGTGGGGTGGGAATGGAGATTTTGCAGTATCCTTCCCCCAGGAGTGGGGTGGGAATGGGTATTTTGAAGTATCCTTCCCCTGGAGTAGTGTCTGTCTTGTTGGGTTGCTGAGCCAAAGCAGACAGTTATGGAGGTGCAGATGACAGACTCAATAGTTCCTCTGTAGAACTGGATCAGCAGCTCCTTGGGCCGTTTGAGCTTCCTGAGTTGGCACAGAAAGAACATTCTTTGTTGCGCTTTTTCTGATGACGTTTTTGATGTTAGGGGTCCGTTTTAAGTCTTGAGATATGATAGAACCTAGAAACCTGAAGGTTGGACAACCATTTTCCTGGAATGGTGTAGGGTCTTCTGCTTGACCAAGGGGTTTGGACTAGAAGACCTCCAAGGTTTCTCCCAACCCTGTTATTCTGTATTCTGATTTCCAAGGCAAATGGAAAAGAAACAAAGAAGCCTCCATAAGCCATCTGGCCACAGGATATTTCACAACACGTGCTACATCTATCTCAATGTGCTTAGTGTATCTGTACACAGAGGAGTCTATCTCCATGCATTTAGCGCTGATTGCCTCGGCTGAACAGCGGAAGGTCAGAGTAACCGGTAACCTCCAATTATTCTGTCCTTCCAACGTGAAGAACTGTTCTGTCTATTTTTCTCAGGTTCGCTTCATCAGGAGCGCTAAATCGTTCAAGGGGGAGTGTTAATGGAAACGCTCGCTGTGCCAAAAGGGCAAATCAGCCCACAGGCTCGGATGGAAGCCGGATATCTTTGGAATCTATTCATCTGGTCAACTTCCAGAACCCGTTCCTTTTCTCTGTCGTATCTGGCAGGCCACCGCTACATATTTCAGTGATCGGGGAGACAAGGTTGTGCCTCTGAAGCTTGCCCTTGGCCTCTTGAGATGTCATCCAGCCAATTTATCTGACTGCTGCTGTCTTTTAAAGCCCCAAATTCAGCTGCACCCTCCTTACCAACAGCTGGCTTGATGGACTAAGATGCTCTATCTGTCAGACCTGGAAGCCATCTTTTGCTTTTGAGCCTTCAGGCCTGCCACAAATTCTACTGTGGGAAAAAGGGAGGGGGGGATTGTATGGAGCAGGGGTGAAATGCTCCCGGTTCGGACCGGATCACCCAATCCGGTAGCAATGGAGGCGGGTGGTTCGGAGAACCCGTAGCAAAAATCCTTGTGACACAAAGGCAACAGAGCCAGAGAACCGATATGAGTCCCTTTATTATCACCAACTCTGCCCCCAATGTCCCTTTCAACTCTCCAGCTTGGAGAGAGCACTTCCACCAACCTGTAATAGTCTTTGGCTGACAGTACTTCAGTCCAGGGGTGAAATACTCCTGGTTCGGACCGGATCGCCCAATCTGGTAGCGATGGCAGTGGGTGGTTTGGAGAACTGGTAGCAAAAATCCCTGCCCCCACCCCCATGCCCAGCTGAGCCACGCAATCATCAGAGGCTTTTTAAAAAAAAAATTAAAAGCATTTTTTCTACAACCTCTTTGGCCAAAAAAATGCTTTTAAAAGTAAAAAAAAAAAAAGCCTCTGATGATTGCGCGGCTCAGCTGGGATCATCAGAGGCTTTTAAAAACATTTTTTCTATAACCTCTTCGGCCCAAGACAAATTTAAAACCCCAGGTTAAGAACAAATTAAAATTTACATTAAAATTTACTATTATGATAGTTACGTATGCAGCCTACTCTTCCAACTTTAATCCCCATAATTACCACCCAATAAAATGTATCTCTTTCCCTAAAAATCACTGTTTCATCCCATTAATAATGCAAACGGTTGGTGGGGGTTTTATTCAAAACAATGAAACCAGTCCCAGCGTTCCAGATCTTATTAAACTTATCAAAGTCTCGAGCTTCTTTAGAATATTCGCCGGTTGTTAATCTCCCTAATTAATATGGAATTAACGCTCTTTTCTATTTCTTGATTTGCAATGAAGGATGCCTGCTCCCTGCAAATCTATTTTTTTTTCCTTCTCTTTCTCTTTCTCTCTCTCTCTCTCTCCCCGGCTTGGTTAATTGCTCCCCAGACTAAAGAACAGGGAAAAAGAACTCATTCCCTTTAAATTATCTGATTCTTTGCAGTATCTCATTTTAGAGCCCGAAGCGGTGTTTGCTCAATAAGGCCTCTACTATAATATTTCAAAAGTGAGAGGGGAGTTGTGGGCTGCTTCTACCTATGTCTGCTGAAGCTGTACTTAGCCTGAATTTTAATCAAAATGATATCTGCTTTTTTTTTCTTGGGGGGGCTTTAGCAATATGAGCCTGGCTGCAGAATCAAAGCAATTAAAACATTTGCCATACCAACCTGATTGGGTCTCTCTCACCTGTAGAGTGGAATTTGGGGGCTGTTCAGGGGTGGGCTTCAAAAATTTTAGCAAGGGGTTCTCTGCCTGGTTGCTGGGTGGGCGTGGCCTAGTCGGCCTCCTGCACCACAGCGGGGGTGGGTGGGTTGTTTTTGCCCTTCCCAGGCTCTGGAGGCTTTCCTCGTGAGAGGATGAAAACGGCCTCCCCAGGCTCCGGAGGCCCTCTTGAATTGCCATAGGCAAGGGGGATGGGAAAACAGCGAACCACCACAGCAGCCAAAAAACAAAAGCACATTCCAGATATATCTCCCTCAAGGCTGTCTTCAGGGTTACCCACAGCGGCTGAAGGAGAGTGATCTCTACAACTCTACAACCCATGAAATTGCTCCATTGGCGAATGTGACTGATGACACATCCTGGGGGGAACGGAAGAAACAGGGTTAAGCCTCGGTCAGAGCTGGCTTCACTTGGGAACGTGCCAACATGAAGCTCCTAATAAATAACTGGATTTCTTTTGAAGCTTGGCTCGAGGCTCATGATTTAATTAGGGCATCGCTCAGAACCCTGACAACTAACTTAACCACTTCAGTGATTCATTTAACAATTGTGCTGAAAAAGGTCTTAAAATGGGGCAAGATTCACTTAACAACTCTCTTTTTTAGCAATGTAAATTTTGGGCTCCACTGTGGTCATAAGTCAAGGACTACCAGTATAATGCCATGGACAAGGCAAGCTCTGAAAAGCAGTGAAAGTCACATCTATGTGGAAATAGTCTCCTTACCTGCACAATTCAGTGGTTAATTATTATCATTATTCTTTTTTTATTTTGTTTCTTGGTGCAGGTGAACCTTGTGTTGGATGAAGGGAGATCTCTGGGTCTCATGATTCGAGGGGGATCTGAATACGCCCTCGGGATTTACATCACGGGGGTGGACAAGGATTCGGAAGCAGAAAACACTGGCTTGAAAGTAAGTTCGGCTGAGATTCTGGGGTGAGTCCGGGAGGGCCCCCGTTTTGCAGAAATGAAGATGCATAGATATAATTTCTGAGATCTATCAGGTGACACTTCCTTCACCTTGATCTTTTTTTAAAAAAAAAAGTAATTTTATTAAGATTATAATTAAAAAAGTGAAAACTAATAAAATAGAATAGAAAGTGCAGGAAAAAAAGGAAAAAGGAGAAAAGAAAAAATGAAGAAATATCTTCCTCCCCTCATCAGGACAAGAACAAACAATTTTAGTAAAAATTATACCCATCTCTTAAGAAACAACAAATGGACTATTTTTCCTACAACTCATCTCTTAATTATTAACAAAATCTTAAAGCTTTGTCGTTCATTCCTAATCAGCAAAAATCCATTAAGAGCTACCAGAAACAACTATGTAACTATTTCAACCTTGATCAAATAAACCAACTTTATATTCCTTCCCTGCACCTTTAACAATTTTAGATTTTTTAATCCCAGGAAATAATGTCCTGGAACTTGATTTCTTTTCGCCTTCTCTTTGTCTCATTTTAGTAAATCCTTCAAAGCCTTAACATCTTAAGATCTTTTTGTAAATCCAGTAAAAAAAAAAAAACACAACCCTCGAAACCTCTCTTCTGATTTAATACTTGTAAGTAGAACTTGACCAAAAGTAGAAGCAACTTTTCTCAACTTCACCTCTTATAGCAAGTAAGCACAACAAAAGCGTCTGAATAATCAAAAGAAATGCTCAGACACTGTGTGAATAAGGTAGAATATCAAAAACTTTTTTTTCATGGAAGAAAGAAACGTCTAAAGCCATTCAGGACGGTCCTAATTGGATATGTTTCATCGTTTTTGTTCTTCTGCAAGACCCTTTAACCGGATTAGCAGGGATGGTGCTCCTGGTGAGACTATCAGTAACTATCAGACTAATTAGGAACGATGAGAAGATTAATAGTAATGCAGACTTAATGAATAGTTTGACAGTGTTGAAGGAATTATTTGTTAAGCAGAGTGATGGCGTTTGGGGAAAAACTGTTCTTGTGTCTAGTTGTTCTGGTGTGCAGTGCTCTATAGCCTCGTTTTGAGGATAGGAGTTGAAACAGTTTATGTCCAGGATGCGAGGGGTCTGTAAATATTTTCACAGCCCTCTTTTTGATTCATGCAGTATACAGGTCCTCCATGGAAGGCAGGCTGGTTGTGATTGTTTTTTCTGCAGTTCTAATTCTCCTCTGAAGTCTGTGTCTGTCTTGTTGGGTTGCTGAGCCAAACCAGACAGTTATGGAGGTGCAGATGACAGACTCAATAGTTCCTCTGTAGAACTGGATCAGCAGCTCCTTGGGCAGTTTGAGCTTTCTGAGTTGGCGCAGAAAGAACATTCTTTGTTGTGCTTTTTTGATGATGTTTTTGATGCTGGGTGTCCATTTTAGATCTTGAACGAGGACAGAGGTCTCACTCATCCTATTTTTCCTTTCCCCTGTTTCAAGGTCAACCTCCTGCAACTCAGAAATATTCACAACCAATCTTCATATTTTGTCATTCCAAATGGCTCAGAAGGTGACAAAATGCAGAGATGGCAATTCTCCATTTCCCCCAACGGCGATTTTCCGTTCATTTGCTCATTAGCCTCCCACTGACATCCCCCTCCTCCCCTCGTCAGCTGCCCAAAAGGAAATTTCTCCTTTCTCTCCTGGATCAGAAAATTGCTTGTTTTTTGTAAAATGCCAAATGGTTTCAAGCGGGCGACAGAACATTAGGCTCAGGAAAGAGATGTGAAATGATAACTTTGGGTATATAATAAAGAACATTATTTCCTACAAATAAATGGCTTCAGGTCTTCAGCGGATGGCTATCATCCCATCTGTTCCTTTGTCCCCTTACAAGTAGAAGATAATAATTCTCCCAAGAGTAATGCCTAGATTTCTGTGTCATACTTCTACCTGCAACCTGTCAGGCATGAATAACTAGACTTGCATGCCTACACTTCAAACTATCTACTTTATTGTTCTCTGCCTATAATACAGGAATCTTTCCAGACTGACAGATTTGCTGGAAAAGACTAGATAAGGCTCAATGGCATTCAAGGAGGGGTCAGGCTTTGTCCTGGAGTCCTGCATCCAGTTTTGGTCACCACAATGTAAAAAAGATGTTGAAACTCTGGAAAGAGTGCAGAGAAGAGCCACAAAGATGATTAGGAGGCTGGAGGCTAAAACCTATGAAGAACGGTTGCAGGAACTGGGTGTGTCTAGTTTAATGAAAAGAAGGACTAGGGGAGACATGATAGCAGTCTTCCAATATCTCAGGGGTTGCCACAAAGAAGAGGCAGTCAAGCTATTTTCCAAAGCACCTGAGGGCAGAACAAGAAGCAATGGGTGGAAACTCATCAAGGAGAGAAGCAACCTAGAACTAAGGAGAAATTTCCTGACAGTTAGAACAATTAATCAGGTGGAACAATTTGCCTCCAGAAGTTATGAATGCTCCAACACCGGAAGTTTTAAGACGTGGATAACCATTTGTCTGAAGTGGTGTAGGGTTTCCTGCCTAAGCAGAGGGCTGGACTAGAAGACCTCCAAGGTCCCTTCTAACACTGTTTTCTATTCTATTCTATTCTATTCTATTCTATTCTATTCTATTCTATTCTATTCTATCTATTCTATTCTATTCTATTCCATTCCATTCCATTCCATTCCATTCCATCCATTCCACTCCACTCTCACTCACTCCACTCCACTCCACTCCACTCCACTCCATTCCACTCCACTCCACTCCATTCCACTCCACTCCACTCTACTTCTACTCTACTCTACTCTACTCTACTCTATCTATTCTATTCTTCCTCTTGGGAGCTCCCAGATTTGATAGGAAACCTGGCGAACTCGAGCTTCTACTTTTGTTACAGGGGAGACAATTCAAGACGTCGCATCTCCTCCTCATTTGTTGAGAATCGAGTGACCACGTAGCTGCTTGCTTCGACTTTCAGGCTGTCTGTGGTAGGAGCAGGAAGGAACTTCCCTCTTTGCAAAATTCCGCAAATTTCCCCAGGCGAGACTTGATCGATTGCTTGTCATCTGATCACGGGGAGAATACGCCGGGGCTGGTGGCAAAAGGTTTCTCTTCTCTATTTCTCTGGTTGGAAGTAAATATCTTCCCCCATCATAGGGCAGGGACATATATCTTGCAGCCGGAATTGGCCAATGAATAATTCATCGCGACCTAGCTTTTAATGCGCTGGCTGTCACACTGGAGGCGAGCACCGCACCGCACCGCACTCTGGTGTCGGTTTGACCACCATCTCTGAAGCTGTGATGACCCAGAGTGTGACACAAAGGCAACAGAGCCAGAGAACCGATATGAGTCCCTTTATTATCACCAACTCTGCCCCCGAGTGTCCCTTTCAACTCTCCGGCTTGGAGAGAGCACTTCCATCAACCTGTAATAGTCTTTGGCTGACAATACTTCAGTCCAGGGGTGAAATACTCCTGGTTCGGACCGGATCGCCCAATCCGGTAGCGATGGCAGTGGGTGGTTTGGAGAACTGGTAGCAAAAATCCCTGCCCCCTCCCCCCCCCCCCCTGCCCCCCGGGGGACGCGCTCCTCAGAGGCTTTTTTTTTTAATTTTTTCTACAACTTCTTCGGCCGAAAAAATGCTTTTAAAAGTAAAAAAAAAAAAAAAGTCTCTGATGATCGCACGGCTCAGCTGGGATCGTCAGAGGCTTTTAAAAGCATTTTTTCTACAACCTCTTCGGCACTTCCCCAGTTTCTTCCACAGCCAATGGATCCACTCTCTCGCTCTCTGTCAGTCGTTCCTCTTCCCCTTCGGATTCAGACTCCGACAGGGGCATGACACGGAGCCTTCCCCACAACTCCCTCGTTCCTTCTCTTTCTCGTCTGCACGGCGGACACCGACACACATACACTCCTCATTACCAAGGGAGAACGGTGCAGAAGTTATGAAAGTGCAAATTTAAGACCGCGCCGTTCCATTTCAGGCGTCTGCCTTTCCGCCCTTAGAAGCCACCTGTGCGCGAAAATATAACGCTCCGTAGAGGGTAAAGAGAGTCACGATGGCAATAAAATTTCTTTAATGGGTTTCTCTTCCCTCCCAGCTCTGTTCTTGCCAAGTTCGCCTTGTTTTAGAGATGGCAGGCAGCTCTAGGGAGGGGGAAAAATTGCCAGTTGATGAGAAGAAGAAGCCCTGAGGGCTATTTCCAACCACTGGCCTTGTCGATGGGTGAGCGGGACTTGATTTCAAACCAGCAAAGAGAAAGAAGAGAGACTGGCGTCTGAGTTTTGATCAATATTTTCCGTCGCTGTTAATTAGCTGGCCCCGCAGCTATTAGACCAGAGAGAAAATTACTTTTTTTAACCAGGTCAATTACAGAGACCGGGTTTCAACCAAAGGTCAAGCTTGGTTAGTTTTAACCTTATTGAAATCTTCTTTTAAAAAAAAAAAGTGCATCGTTTAGTAGTGTGTTGTGTGAATTGAGAGCGTTTTGTTGGTTTGCAATTTGAAGGGTGGGGTTTAAATCAATCATGGTGGGAAAAAAGGAGAATATTTGTAGCTCAGAGTTGCAGACGTTTCATGACCCAACAAAGTAATATCATCAGTGTTAGAAGGGAGTGTGGTTTGTGGAGTGGAGGGAGGAGGAGGAGGAGGAGAGAAGAAGAAGAAGAAGAAGAAGAAGAAGAAGAAGAAGAAGAAGAAGGAAAGAAGAAGAAGAAGAAGAAGAAGAAGAAAGAAGAAGAAGAAGAAGACAAGAGAGAGAAGAGAATGACCCAACTAAGTAACACAGTGGAAGAAGTTTGTGGAGTGGAGGGAGGAGAGGAGGAGGACGATGAACAACAACAACTGTGGGGTTCTTGTGCTCTCTGAGCTTGATTGTTTTCTTGCAGATGTTTCATGACCCAACTAAGCAACATCATCAGTGTTAGAAGGGTGTGGGGGTTTGTGGAGAGGAGAAAGAGGACGACGGTGAGGAAGACCAGAAGGAGGAGGACTGTGGGGTGCTTGGTGCCTCTGAACTTGGTGGTTTTCTTGCAGATGTTTCATGACCCAGCCAAGTAACATCATCAGTGCTAAAAGGGAGTAGGGTTTGCGGTTATTCCTCTTATTCACTCCCTTCTAGCACTGATGATGTTAGCTACTTTGGGTAATGAAACGTCTACAAGAAAACAAGCAAGCTCAGTGAGCACCAAAGACCCCATCAGTCACTGTGTCTGCTTGAAGACTGTCTACCCATAATACCTCCATGTAGGTAGCTCCTAACCATGGATCATGGTCAATATGATGGCCAATATAGCTAGAAGGGGCAAAGAGCTGCTGTTGACATTACCGTCTTGAGCAAGGATCGGCAATCTTAAAACACTCAAAGAGCCCCAAAGGTTCTAACCGGAAGCCCCCGTTCAATTCTGGAGCTGACCGGAAGTCCGGTTCCCCCGTCATAGTCTCCTCTTAGTGCGGAATCCTTTTTCCTCTACCTGTCCTAACCGAAAGCCCTATCAATTGTGGAGCCGACCAGCAACAGGGAGCCGCAGCACAGGGATGAAAGAGCCACATGCGGCTCCAGAGCTGCGGGTTGCTGATCCTTGGTCTTGAGGAACCCATGAAAATAATTTTGGGTGGCTCATTTTCCAAGGTTTCCACCTTCCCATGGGAGGAACGTCTATCTAAATTTTCAATCAGTCAAGTCATGGTCTGGAGTTTTTTGGGTTTTTTTCCAAGGGTGGGCTGCTGTGGGTTTGCTGGGGTTCGGGAGACCCTCTAGCTAAGATTCTGGGCAGTTTGGAGAGCCCCCAAATCCCACTCCTGGCTGGCCCTGCCCACCCCACCCCTCCCGGGAGGCCTCACAGGGCCCATTTTGGATGCAGGTAAGTGCAGGGCACGCACGGATGTCAGAGAGGGGGGAAAACAGGCCTACCAGAAGTTCAGGAAATGGGTCAATTTCTGGCCTCCAGAGAGCCTCTGGAGCCTGGGGAGGCTGTTTTTGCCTTCCCGGAGGCTCAAGAAAAGCCTCCAGAGCCCGGGGAGTACAAAAAGCCCCCCTCCCTATGGTGCAGGAGGCCAACTAGGCCATGCCCATCCAGCAACCAGACAGAGAACCCCTTGCTAAAATTTTGAAGCCCACCCCTGGTTTCTTCCCCCTTGAAAAAGTTTCGCTTCTCATCCAAGAAGTTTCAACGTTTAAAAAGAAACTTTTGGGACTTCCAACGGGAACGTCTTTCCACCTTTCCCGTACAGGTTGGAGACCAGATTCTGGAGGTGAATGGACGAAGCTTCCTCAGCATTTCCCACGACGAGGCCGTGAACCTCCTGAAGTCCTCCCGTCATCTCATCATGACCATCAAGGACGTGGGAAGGCTACCTCACGCCGGGCCACTGTGGATGAGACCAAGTGGATCACCAGCTCTCAGATTGGAGAGACGATGGTCAATTCGGCAGGGTTGGTATATTTCCAGACAGTTCCTTTTCAGGAGAGGCTTGTTATAAGCACAGTCGGTTGGACAGAGCACTCTGGGCTCTTTCCTAAGAACGCTAAACTCCCATAATAGAGTAGACCAGTGTTTCTCAATCTTGGGAACCTGAAGATGTGTGGATTTCAACACCCAGAATTCCTCCAGCCAGCACAGCTAACTAGGGAGTCCTGGGAGTTGAAAGCCACACATCTTCAAGTTCCCAAGATTGAGAAACACTGGAGTAACAACTTCCTGATAACTAAGGAAGGCCAATCTTGGGCCAAAGGATTAAGGATTCCAAATTGTCTGTCTGTCTGTCTGTCTATATCTATCTGTCTATTTATCTATCTATCTCTATTCTATTATCTATCTATCTATCTATCTATCTATCTATCTATCTATCTATCTATATCATCTACCTATCATCTATCTGCCTGCCTGCCTGCCTGCCTATCATCTACCTACCTACCTACTATCTATCTATCTATCTACCTACCTACCTACTATCTATCTATCTATCTATCTATCTATCTATCTATCTATCTATCTATCTCTACCTTTCTACCTACCTATCCATCCATATCTATCTATCTATCTATCTATCTATCTATCTATCTATCTATCTATCTATCTATCTATCTATCTATCTATCTGGTTGTCTGTCTATCTATCTGTCTGTCTGTCTGTCTGTCTAGCTGTATTGGTCGTCCATCTTACCCCAAGGTAACCCTGGGAGGCTTACAGTCGTAAATTAAGTGCTACGGCTTGTCCAGGAAAAGGAATTGGGCCTTTTTTTGATCTTTTTAAACATCCCATGAATATTTCAGGACTTACACTAACACTTACATGGATCTCCTGCTTCAAAAGGGAGGAAACCGTGCTGTCAATATTCAAGCTTTGAAAGGGCTTCGTGATCTGTTTTTAAAGCATCGCTTGAATTTCTACAGCGTGCTTAGTCAAACTAGTTTTCAGGTTCACCATAATGGTGGAAATTGGAAATAATAGTAATAATAAATAATAATAATAATAAAAAGAAAAAAATCACAAAATATCGTGACCTGGCCATCGAAACTACGCGATTATGGATGAAACATATCACAGTGATACCCATTGTCATTGGGGCACTTGGTACCATGTCCAAGAATCTTATAGGATACATCAACAAATTGCAGCTTCCTGCAATAACACCAATGGAACTGCAAAAAAATGAGCTACTTGGAACATCGTACATCTTAAGAAGGTACTTGGTTGATACCTAGGACGCTGGCAGCAACCCGTATCAACCATTAGCACCAGTCAATGGTATTTGTGATGCATTTCTGAATGTTTAGTTGACTGAGTTTCATATTTAATGAATAAAAGAGATAATAATAATAATAATAATAATAATAATAATAATAATAATAATAATAATAATAAATGGCCCATCTACTGGAAATAGTCTAGAAAATCTAGAAAATTGTGCTTTGTATTTCTTACCTTCTGTGATATCAGATGGCTGAGATTGCCTGATGAGAGTAAGAGAACATAAGATTGGAAAAACAGGAAAGAGAATAAAATAATCGTAGTACCAGGTCTCCCCCAAACCAAGTATGGGGAGATGCCTCTCACTTTCCCTCCCCCCTCTTCTTATGAATAGAAATTGATCAGTTCAAATCACCAAGCTCAGAGAGCACCAGTTACGATCTCTGTGAACCCAATATTAAAATATTGTTCCAGTGTTAAATAGGGCAGCTTTCAATCCTCCAGAAGGAAAGTAATTCCCCTTCTGCAAGGAATAACCTTACATAAATATATATTCAACTCCTACCGTCAAAACGACGCTATAGAGCACTGCACATCAGAACAACTAGACACAAGGACAGTTTTTTCCCAAACGCCATCACTCTGCTAAACAAATAATTCCCGCAACACTGTCAAACTATTCACTAAGGCTGCACTACTATTAATCTTCTCTTCGTCCCTATCACCCATCTCCTCGCACTTATGACTGTAACCTTGTGGCTGGTATCCTTAAGATTTATATTGACTGTTTCCCTATGACTATCATTAAGTGTTGTACCTTATGATTCTTGACGAATGTATCTTGTCTTTTATGTACACCGAGAGAGTATGCACCAAGACAATTCCTTGTGTGTCCAATCACACTTGGCCAATAAAGAATTCTATTCTGTTCTGTTCTGTTCTGTTCTGTTCTGTTCTGTTCTGTTCTGTTCTATTCTACTCTACTCTACTCTACTCTACTCTACTCTACTCTACTCTACTCTAATCTATTCTAGTGTGTCTACATTTGGGGGTAATGGATACATCTGCAAAAGGGACAACCAGATAAATAAGGTGATTCCTTCCTGACCATATCTGCGAAGTTCTTAAATAAATCTGGTGGATCTGTCTGAGGCACAGAAGGCTAAACTAGATGTGATCCTTTATCTTTTGATGTTCTTGATGTGATATGAAGAACGGTTGCAGGAACTGGGCATGGCTAGTCTAGTGAAGAGAAGGACCAGGGGAGACATGATAGCAGTGTTGGAATATTTGAGGGGCTGCCACAGAGAGGAGGGGGTCAAGCTATTTTCCAAAGCACCTGAAGGCCAGACAAGGAATAATGAATGGAAACTGATGAAGGAGAGATTCAACCTAGAAATAAGGAGAATTTTTCTGACAGTGAGAGCAATCCACCCATGGAACAGAAGTTGCCTTCAGAAGTTGTGGGAGCTTCATCATTGGAAGCTTTCAAGAAGAGACTGGACTGCCGTTTGTCAAAAATGGTGTAGGGTCTCCTGCTTGGGTGGGATGGTGGTGGACTAAACGACCTACAAGGTCCCTTCCAACTCTGTTAATCTCTGATGCACATCTGATCTTCAACATTTGTCTAAAAAAAAATAAAAAAAAATAAAATAAAATAAAAAAAAAACATTTGTCAACGTTCAACATTCAGCCATTTGTCTGGAATGGTATAGGGTCTCTTACTCGAGCATGGGGTTGAACTAGAAGACCTCCAAGGACCCTTCCGTTATTCTGTAACATCACCCAATGGCTAAGATCTCTGTCTTATCTTCATCCCCAAACCTTCTTTTTGGTGACAACAGCTGTCTTTCATTGCAGGGCCTCTGATGATCCCATGGGGGAGACGACACCAAAGGTAAGGTGGACATTTTGAAGATAGTATCCTGTTCTCTTCAAACTGTTTGAAAAAGTACTATTACCATCATTATTCTCATCTTCCCTATTGAGAATAACCCTTCCCTAGTGTTCAGCGATGGGTTTCACTTTTTGTTACCAGCGGTTCGCTTCGCACGCATGTGTACCCCTTCCGCACATGCGCCCGGCCCCAAAAATGTGCCTAAATAGGACGGCATAGGGCTCACCCGCAATCTCCGCTACCAATTTGCCCGAACCGGCTGAATACCACCTCTGCTAGTGTTATGGGAATTACCGTATTTTTCAGAGTATAAGACGCTCCGGAGTATAAGACAGACCTTATTTTGGGGGGAGAAAAGTAATAAAAAAAAAAATTCTACCTCTGCCTACCGGAGCTTTTGGAGGCCGTTTGAGAGGCGAGCCTCCCAAAGCTCCGTTTGAGAGGACGCGTAGAGGCAGAAGGGTGGGAGCCGGTGGGCAGGCGGGGCTACATTTGGTGTATAAGACGCACCCCAGATTTTCACATTCTTTTTTGTGGGGAAAAGGTGCATCTTATAGTCCAAAAAATACGGTAGTTGTTTAACAAAGTGATAGCACAGGGGGAAAAAACTGTCCTTGTGTCTAGTTGTTCTGATGTGCAGTGCTCTATAGCGTCATTTTGAGGGGAGAAGTTGAAACTGTTTATGTCCAGGATGCGAGAGGGTCTGTAGATATTTTCACAGCCCTCTTTCTGGTTCGTGCAGTAGACAGGTCCTCCATGGAAGCTGTTATTCATCATGAATTCTCGTGAACTCTCCAAGTAAGAATGCGAACGGAGAAAGCAGCTTTCCCGTTGAGTCGTGTCTTTCGTTCCACTAAGCCTCGCAACAAGGTCGAATTCGGTTGGCATGGCAGCATTTTATTTATCGGCAAGATATTTTTTTTCTTTTTCCCCCTCCCCGGTCCTACCTGACAATGAAATATTTTGAGCCTCGGATCTCTTGGAGAAGAGCAGGAGATTCATCATCTCTTGAGCCGTGGCCCTTCCAGCCTGCCAATCAGAAGACATCCCTTAACTGCTTTTTTGTTGTTGTGGTGGTAGTGGTGGTGATGGTTGTTATTTCTCATTCTTCATGCCTTAACTAGACCCAGGCTGCTGGTTTATCCTAGAGCCCATCTCTTCTCCAACTTAAAGTGGAACGGTTCAAGAAAGGCTCTGCTCAGGGGTGGGCTTCAAAAATTTTAGCAAGGGGTTCTCTGCTTGGTGGCTGGATGGGCATGGCCATGGTGGACGTGGCCTAGTCGGTTTCCTGCACCACGGCAGGGGGGACGTTTTTGCCCTCCCCGGGCCCCAGAGGCTTTTTTCGAGCCTCCGGGAGGGTGAAAACAGCCTCCCTAGGCTCCGGAGGGCCTCTGAAGGCCGGAAACGGGCCTGTTTCCAGCCTTCCTGATCTTCCAGCTTCTCCCAACCTAGCAGTTCAAAAGCAGGTAAAAAATGCAAGTAGAAAAATAGGGACCACCTTTGATGGGAAGGTAACAGTGTTCCGTGCGCCTTTGGTGTTGAGTCATGCCAGACACATGACCACAGAGACGTCTTCGGACAGCGCTGGCTCTTTGGCTTTGAAATGGAGATGAGCACCGCCCCCTAGAGTCGGGAACGACTAACACATATGTGTGAGGAGAACCTTTACCTTTATCTTTATTAACCTCTAAGCCACGGGTTCCCCTCGCTTTGTCAGTGATACCAGGTGAGAGATTAAGTGCCCCCCCCCCAGTGAAACCAGTCTATCAGGGCAACCTGGTTTACCCAAATATGGGACGGAGCACAGTGCTTTCTGTCAGGGTTCCAACAGATGCCCTAATTAAATCATGAGCCTCGAGCCAAGCTTCAAAAGAAATCCAGTTATTTTTTAGGAGCTTCATGTCGGCACGTTCCAAAATGAAGCCAACTCTGACCCCACGTAATTTACGGCTCCAATCATGACCCTGTTTCCCCCCTCCCCCCAGGGCGTGTCATCAATCACATTCGCCAACGGAGCAATTTCGCAGGTTGTAGAGATCACTCCCCTCCGGCCGGTGTGGGTTACCCCTGGGAGACAGCCTTGAGAAAGATATGCCTGGAATGTGCTCCTGTCTTTGGCTGCCATGCTGTTTCGTCGGTTTCCCATCCCCCTTGCCTATGGCAGCTCGAGAGCAGGCCAGGGATGCTTTGCGAGTTGACACTTCCGCTTTTGCCTTTCAGCCCCAATTCAGGGGCTTTTGCAACAAACTATTTTTTTGTGTCTAATTTATATTTTACCGACAAAGAAATAAAGGGAGACTAGCATTGCCGAGACTGTCGCTCATAAATTTATCCTCATTGGAAACTCTCTATCCATCTCTTCGTGGACCGATTCAAAACTTCAGAAGCACCGCTGCTCCTCCTTTGAGGGTTTTGCAGAGTTTCTACTTCTAAAGCCGCAAACCGCCTTCTGCTCACCTTTTTAAAACGGACGCCTGCTGAAGTGGCAGAGGTGGCTTCTGCGGATCCAGAGATTTACGAGAGTTCTGTCAGTGGCGCTCCCTTGGCGCTTGTTAGCCTTCGTTTCCTGCAGAGCAAAAGTTGCACGCTAAGCAGTCTGAATTTTCGGGAAGGCAGACGGGGGGGAAGTGGAGGGGGGGAGTAATAAAACACGATAACAGCTATGGAATTGATAGAAGAGAATTATTTGCAGCTCGCGGTTGAATGGTGAGGTCCCTTCCCTTCCAGCACTGATGATGTTACTTAGTTTGGTAATGAGACGTTTGCAAGAAGCTGAGAGAGCATCAAGGACCCCGTACAGGTAGTCCTCGGCTTATGAACCACAACTGAGCCCAAAATCAATGTTGCTAAGCGAGATATTTGTTCAGTGAATTTGCCCCGTTTTTACGACGTTTCTTGCTCCGGTTGTTTAAGTGAATTACTGCGTTTGTTAAATTAGTCACATAGAATGTTAAGTTAGTCACATGATTGTTAAGGGAATCTGGCTTCCCTGTTGACTTTGCTTATCAGAAGGTCGCAAAAGGGGATTGCATGACCCTGGAACACTGCAACCGTCATAAACATGAGTCTGAATTTTGATCACATGACCATGGGGATGCTGCAATGGCCATAACTGTGAAAAATGGGCATAAGTCACTTTTCCCAGTGCCATTGTAACTTTGAATGCTCATTAAATGAGCTATTGTAAACCTGTAGTCATCGTTCTCCTCTTCCTCCTCCACTCAGAAAATCCCATTCCCTTGTAGTCCTGATGATGTTATCTAGTTGGGCCGTGAAACATCTTCAAGAAAACAACCAAGCTTAGAGAGCATCAAGGACCCCACAGTCTTCCTTCTCCTCTTCCTCTACTCCACAAACCCCACTCCTTTCTAGCACTGATGACATTACCTGGTTTGGTAATGAAACGTCTACAATTTTTTTTCTCATTCAAGCAGACCCCGATGGAGATAACATTTTTAGACAGGAAAGAGGACTTATCTTTTTCTTTTTTAAATTTTTTATTTTTTAGACAAACAAACATTTAATACATCGGTTTTCTCTTCCCTGTGACATCTCGGTGTTGTCTTCCGAAGTTCTTTCTTTTTCCGTATAGTTGTCATTACTTCTATCTTGATCCTTATCCAGTCCACAATATCAATTCATCGCTAACATAATATTCAACTCATCACATATTTTTTTACATACTTATATAATTAATCATTTATATCTCTTCTCCAACCAATAATAAAAATCATTCCATATTTTAAAATATTCTGAGTCTTCTCTATCTTTAATCATCAGAGCTAATCTATTCATTTCTGCACAATCTAAGTTTTTTTTTTATTACTTCTTCTTCCAAAGGTATTTTCTCCGCTTTCCAATTTTGTGCATAGACAATCCTTGCAGCTGTTATTACATGTATTATCAGATAAACTTTCATCCGGAAGCTAAAAACTATTGGATTAAATTTAAGACTTGGTTGGAGGAAATGATACATCAACGTATCGAATTTAAACCAGAGTTGTTCCTACTGGGTATCCTACCTGAAAAAATTAGCAAGGAGGACTTATCTTTTTCAAAAGTTTGATATCATGGGTTCACCAGCAGTCTTGTGTATTACCATGTGTTCACATCTGGAGAAAAAAACATCCTTCCTCCACCTTCTAAGGTACCCCAATCGGAGAATTAAATTGCCATCAGCAAGTAATCAGAACAGCGCAATTCTGTACTGGGCTCCCATTTGGTACATTGATGAGCTTATTAAGGATTTATCAGTAGTCTCTCATGAATTTTAAAGGACAGATTTGCAACCTTGGCAGCTGTGCTAGTCTTTAGTTTGGGGTGGTTAAAAAAAGAAGAAGAAGAATTGTACCAAGAGCTGTCAGGCGTGAAGAATCGGGATTATACATTAAGTTCCAGCTAAGAAGATTTATTGCTCTAGGCCCGTGATGACGAACCTATGCCACACGTGCCACAGGTGGCATGTGGAGCCATATCTGTGGGCACGTGAGCATTGCCCTAGCTCAACTCCAGCACACATGCTCATGCCGGCCACCTGATTTTCGGCCCTTCCGGGCCCACTGGAAATCAGGAAATGGGCTGTTTCTGGCCTCCAGAGGGCCTCCGGGACGGGGAGACAGTTTTCACCCTCCCCAGGCGCCTAGAAAGCCTCTGGAGCCTGGGGAGGGCTAAAAATGGGCCTTTCATTTCTGTTTGTCAGAAATTATGTACGTGTCAAGTTTCCGAAAGATGCCCTAATTAATTCATGAGCCATGATCCAAACTTCAAAGGAAATATAGTAATTTATTAGGAGCAACATTCTGGCAATACTCGGATGCAGTTAGGACTGATCCCACGTAGATTTACGTTCCCCTATGATCCTGTCTCTCCCCTCCTCTCTGGCCATGTCATAAATCACATTCTCCAATTAACCACTTTGGCTGGCTGTGAAACCTAACACCCTCCTTCTGATTGCGGTCAGGAAGAATGTATGGAATTCACTTCAGTTCTCCCTCCCTCCTGCTCATGGCAACTTGAAAGCTTTGCAAGTTGACAGTACGGTCTCCTGCTTGGGCGGGGGGTTGGACTAGATGACCTACAAGGTCCCTCCCAACTCTGTTAATCTGTATTCTGTAAAACAGACATAGCTTTATCTAGAGGCATGTACAGATTAGTTGCGATTACAGTGTTATGAACGATCCCCCATTCTGACTCCAGAAAGCCAATTATTATTCGGTACTCAAGGAGATGCCAGGTTGAGGTTTCTTCCCCTAAGAGTCCTTCAGGATTTTGAGGGCTCTCCAAACTAGGGAGAAGAGAGCAAGCAATTTCAGGAATAAGCCCTAAAGAGGCAAAGAGCCGAAATTCAATTGGTCCAAAATTCAGAACCAATTTATGCTTTTTACCCTCGGCAGTCTGTGCAATGAAACTCTTCAAAGGACAATTGTTCCCAAAGATGAGTCCACTCTTGACGTTAGGTGAAGCATCGGGGGCTGCAGTGCGTAGGAAAGCAGCACCGGAGGGGAAGAACTAAGCTATACAACTCATCAGGGTCACAACTGGGAAGAAGGACAAGTTGGTTTCCTGGGAGCATGAAGTGGCTTTTTTTATTGTGGTCCCAACGGAGTAGCGTTTTACCGCTTCCTTTCCACAAAATTTCCAAGGACCCTGGAAAAATCGATGGAGAACAGGCCTGTGAACAGTTAATTTTGAAGATTCCTCATTATCTTCATCCCTTGCAGAGGAAGGAGGAGGAGGGAGGAAGAATAAAGGAGGAGGAGGAGGAGGAGGAGGAGGAGAGGAGGAGGAGGAGGAGAATATAGAAGAATAGAAAAGGTGGAGCAGGAGGTGGAGCAGGAACATGAAGAATAGAAGAGGAGGAGGAGGAGAGGAGGAAGAGGAGGAGGAGAATGGAGGTAAAATAGAAGAGGAGATGGAGAAGGAAGAGGAGATGGAGAATGGAGGAAGAATAGAGGAGGAGGAAGAAGAGGAGGAAATGAAGAATAGAGGAGGAGGAGAATGAAGAATAAGGGAGGAGGAAAATGAAGAATAGAGGAGGAGGGGGAGGAGGAGGAGGAAGATGAGAATGAAGAATAGAGGAGGAGGAGAATGAAGAATAGAGGGGGAGGGGGAGGAGGAGGAGGAAGAGAATGAAGAATGAGGGAGGAGGAGAATGAAGAATAGAGGAGGAGGAAGATGAGAATGAAGAATAGAGGAGGAGGAGGAGGAGGAGGAGGAGGAGGAGGAGGAGGAGGAAGAGCTCTCTATCTTCTATTTACAAGCATCCCAGGGCCCTCACTTGGTCACTTTGGAAACCAAATGCTAGGGGATGGCGACCATGAACAGACCCAGCAACCCCTCTCTTAGGTTCTCATGGCCAATCCACGGCCATCAGAACCTTCCAGAGTCCTCCTAGAAGCCAAGGTTCCTTCCGAAGCCCACGGGAGACTAAGTGTGACTTATCGCTTCCCTCCCTTCCCTGATTATCCCGCAGGCTGAAAAGCTGCAGGCGGGCAGGCGCTTCACCCTCCGCAGAACAATCAGCCTGATTTTTCCTAAACAAGAGCTGCCTTCCAATCAATGCTTCCAGCGGTAACGGGCTTCACTCAGCAGGCCGCCGCTCCTTTCCGTTCCAATGCGATTCAGGGGTCATCCAACGCCCACCGCCTCATCCCTTTTTCCAAATCCAGGTTTCTCCGCGCTCGAGAAATTACTGGAAAGGAAGAATGCCAAGGTGTCAAGGTTAAAGCTGAATGCGTTCCCATCAGCATTCATAAGCCTTAGCAGGTAATGAGATGGTTGAGCATTTGAAATGCAGCTGAAATGCTGCAAGGAAGGAAAAAATAATAACCTGGCGCTTCCCTGAATACATATTCGACCTACAGATGTTTCTTAAAAACACATTCCCGATAGCCCCAGATAGCTTGGCCTGGGAAGAGAGGCATTGCCCATTCAAGCAACATCTGGAAAATGCCTGCATTCCCGCTTGCTCTTTTTGATTTGCGTGAAACCCGATTTGGAATTTCGATTTAACCTTGCATTCTGATTTCTAGAGGAATAACTTTTGACCAGCACAACGTATGGAATTCTTCCATTTGCTAGCCTTCTCGATTTTCTGCAGATGGTCACCCTATTTATACATCGTACGAATGTATCTTTTCTTTTATGTACACTGAGAGCTTATGCACTAAAACAAATTCCTTGTGTGTCCAATCACACTTGGCCAATAAAGAATTCTATTCTATTCCATTCCATTCATAATTTCTATTCTATTCTATTCTATTCTATTCTATTCTATTCTATTCTATTCTATTCTATTCTATTCTATTCTATTCTATTCTATTCTATTCCATTCCATTCCATTCCATTCCATTCTCTATTCTATTCTATTCTATTCTATTCCATTCCATTCCATTCCATTCCATTCCATTCCATTCTATTCTACTCAGGTGACCTTGTGAGATGGAAAGTTGTATTTGGGCATGCGTGGACACAATCACGCACAAACACACACCTTAAAGCACAATTGTCACTGCTAGAAGCTTGATTTTTGTAACACAGTGTCAGGACTGTTCGTAAGGGTGCAGCATAGATGATTTATTCAAGCTATACCCAGGAATGTGGTCAACTAATCTTCAACGCTAAATTGGTGACAGATAAGGGTCAACGGAATTCAGCAAGGGTTGGACGTGCTTGTGGGCACACAACGATTCTAAGATGATGGCGTGCTTAACTCTGCCTCCCCCCAGCTCTTCTCTTACACACAGAATACTAAACCTCTTACTTAGAAGAGCCCAAGGCACTTACGTATTTTGCCTACAGCAGATTTCAAGTGGAATCCATAGCATTTCTAATTAAAAGGCAACAATTATCAAGAGATCTACTTAAACAAAAAAAAGCAATTTCTTGCTAAATGGACAAGGACATGTGCGTGGCCCAAGCAATGTTTTAAGAAAACCACTCGCATTCATGTGCAGTAAAACAAGAAGCCAATAAAGATAAAGGTAAAGGTTCCCCTCGTACATATGTGCTAGTCGTTCCCGACTCTAGGGGGCGGTGCTCATCTCCGTTTCAAAGCCGAAGAGCCAGCGCTATCCGAAGACGTTCTCTGTGGTCATGTGGCCGGCATGACTCAATGCCAAAGGCGCATGGAACGTTATAACCTTCCCACCAAAGGTGGTCCCTATTTTTCTACTTGCATTTTTTAACGTGCTTTCAAACTGATAGGTTGGCAGAAGCTGGGACAAATCACGGGAGCTCACCCCGTTACACGGCGCTAGGGATTCGAACCGCTGAACTGCCGACCTTTCAATCGACAAGCTCAGTGTCTTAGCCACCTCGTCCCCTTAGAAGAAGCCGATAGTTTAGTCTTAAAAAAGGGCTCCTCTGCTTAATGCCTACAATAATGTTATCCCTGCAATATATTGCTTTGGTGAATGTCATTCTGAAAATACGAGCGCTTATAAATCCCTTAAATTGACCATATTCCTCTTCTTATAATTGTGTGCTTCATCTTCTATTAGCCAGCCTCCTTTCTCTGTCAGTATTTATTACGAAGGCCGCTTGCGCAGAATGTTCATTAATTAATAGGCTACGGTTTGTGTAATCCTAATTAATTCTCCAAAGCTTCTCTGTGTTCCTCTCCTCCTAGCCATCTTTTTATAAAGGTCTTACGGGATCTCAAGTAACGTTGAGTAGCCTGGTGAACCAAAACCGAGTGATGCTGGAGGAGCACGCACGCCACCTCCTGAATGAACCTGAAAGGACCACCATGGGCTACTACCTGGATGAATATAAAGAGAAGAACATCTCGATTGATTCCCTCATCATGGCTCTTTTTGAATTGCTCAACACCCATGCCAAGGTTAGTGTGGTGGAATGGAGTCTGGATTCCACGGAGAGAAGGAGGGAGCTGCTTCGCGGAGGGCAGAGAGGCAGCGTAGATTGGGATGTCTGGTAGGCAGGAAAAGGATTATGACGGCTCCTCCCTAGCAGTTCACAGTTATGAAGATAGTTACTTTAGTCTGGCAAGATTCTGTTTGTAAGTGAACAGCAATACAGAAACTGCCAAGAAGTATCTTCTTGTGTCGCTCTTGGTTCTTAGTCTGGCAAGATTCTGTCTGTAGGCAAACGGCAATAAAGAAACTGCCAGCTCTCTTTGAACTGCTCAACACCCATGCCAAGGTTACCGTGGTGGAATGGAGTCTGGATTCCACGGAGGTAAGGAGGGGCTGCTTCCCAGAGAATAGAATAGAATAGAATAGAATAGAATAGAATAGAATAGAATAGAATAGAATAGAATAGAATAGAATAGAATAGAATAGAATAGAATAGAATAGAATAGAATAGAATTCTTTATTGGCCAAGTGTGATTGGACACACAAGGAATTTGGTGCATATGTTCTCAGTGTACATAAAAGAAAAGATACGTTCATCAAGAATCATAAGGTAAACACTTAATGACAGTCATAGGGTACAAATAACCAATCAGGAAACAATATCAAGATAAATCGTAAGGATACAAGCAGCAAAGTTATAGTCATACAGCCATAAGTGGAAGGAGAGGGCAAAGAGGTAGCACCACCCCAATTTGAGATATGGAATCAGAAATAGGCAGGATCCTTGATTCTGTCTACAGAGCCTACTGCTATGCAATTTTCATGGATCTCGCCTTGTTTATTTATGCGCCCAGAAGGTCACCATATGCAAAATATCACTCCAGCATCCCATCCTGAGCATTCATCATCAGTGCCAGTAGGGAGTGGAGTTTGTGGAAAGGAGGAGGAAGAGGGGAGGAGGAGGAGGAGGACTGCAGGTCCTTTCTGCTCTCTGAGCTTGGTGGTTTTCTTGCAGACACAACTAGGTAACCTCATCCATGCTAGAAGACAGTGGAGTTTGTGGAGGAAGGTGGAGGAAGATAACTATGCATTCTTTGGTGTTCTCTGAGATCGGTGGTTTTCTTTCAGACATTTCATTACCCAAATAAGTAACCTCATCAGTGGTAGAAGACAGCGGAGCTTGTGGAGAGAGGGGGGGAGGAGGAGGAGGAAGAGGAAGAGGAGGAGGAGGAGGAGGAAGAAGAAGAGAGGAGGAAGAAGACAACAACTGTGCATTCTTTGGTGTTCTCTGAGATCGGTGGTTTTCTTTCAGACATTTCATTACCCAAATAAGTAACCTCATCAGTGGTAGAAGACAGTGGAGCTTGTGGAGAGAGAGGAGGGGAGGAGGAGGAGGAAGAGGAGGAGGAGGAGGAGGAAGAAGAAGAAGAGGAGGAAGAAGACAACAACTGTGCATTCTTTGGTGTTCTCTGAGATCGGTGGTTTTCTTTCAGACATTTCATTACCCAAATAAGTAACCTCATCAGTGGTAGAAGACAGTGGAGCTTGTGGGAGAGGGGGGGAGGAGGAGGAGGAAGAGGAAGAGGAGGAGGAGGAGGAGGAAGAAGAAGAAAAGGAGGAAGAAGACAACAACTGTGCATTCTTTGGTGTTCTCTGAGATCAGTAGTTTTCTTGCAGACGTTTCAATACCCAACTAGGGAACATCATCAGTGCTAGAAGGGTGTGGGGTTTGGGAGGAAGAGGAAGAGGAGGAGGAGGAGGAGGAGGAAGAAGAAGAAGGAGAAGGAGAAGGAGAAGGAGAAGGAGAAGAAGAAGACTGTGGGGTCGTTGGTGCTCTCTAACTTGGTGGTTTTCTTACAGATGTTTCATTACCCAACTAGGTAACCTCATCAGTGCTAGAAGACAGTGGAGCTCGTGGAGAGAGGGGGAGGAGGAGAAGGAGGAGGAAGAGGAGGAGAAGGACTGTACATTCTTATGTGTTCTCTGAGTTTGGTAGTTTTCTTGCAGACGTTTCATTACCCAGCTAGGTAACCTCATCCGTGCTAGAAGAGAGTCGAGTTTGCTCTTATTTCTCTTATTACCCACCACTCCCTTCTAGCACGGATGAGGTTACCTAGTTGGGTAACGAAACGTCCGCAAGAAAACCACCAAACTCGGAGAGCACCAAGGACCCCTCGCTTCCTTGAGGTCGATATACGCACGCATGTCGTCCTCCCATCAGGCACTGTTTTCATTTTTTTTTTTATAAATAGTTTTTATTGAATATAAATATTAAAAAAGACATACGTAACATATACACAACGAACATTTATACAACATATACACAAAAAGAATATAATTTCTTCTTAAGCATTTTTTCAGAGTGACGTTCTACAATTCTACTTATAATATATTCCTTCACCTTTCTGTAATCTAATAATATTTTTATTACATATATATGTATCAATCGGTAATATATCCCCTATATTTTTTGTATATTTCTAATTTTTAACCAATTATACCAATTATTCCATATTTTATAATAGTCTGATTCTTCTTTTTCTTGTAATTCTTTGGTTAACCTATCCATTTCAGCGCATTCTAAAATTTTCCCTATTACTTCTGTTTCACTTGGTATTTTTTCTTGTTTCCAATTTCTTGCGTAGGTTATTCTTGCAGCAGTTAATATGTGAATTGTAAGATATTTGATATCCTTAGGGTATGATTTGTTAAATATCCCTAATAAAAATGTTTCTGGTTCTTTTTCAATCTGTGTTTTTGTTATTTGTTCCAACCATTTTTTGATGTTGCACCGTTTTCAACGCCCCATTCCCCGTCTTGTTTCTGCAGTTCTCCCTCCTGTCGGAGGTCAGAGGGGTGATATCTCCACAAGACCTGGACCACTTTGATCATCTGGTTCTGAAGAGGGAAATAGAATTCATGAAGGCCCGGCAGCCCTCCGGGACAGGAACAGATTGTTACTCCACAACGTCCTACAGTGATTCCGCCTCGTGTACCGAAAGCCATTTTACGTCCACCACAGCTAGTTCAGCTCGGGTAGGTATGGTTGTCTCAGGCTCGGCTCTCCCATTTTGGCCGCCATGTCCCTGTCCCCCTTTATACAGGTATTCCTCGACTTCCAACGGTTCGTTTAGTGCAGTGGTGGAATTTTTTTACTACCGTTTTTTTTTTTTACTACCAGTTCTGTGGGCGTGGCTCGGTGGGCGTGATGTGGCTCGGTGGGTGTGGGAGGGGAAGGATACTGCAAAATCTCCATTCCTTCCCAACTCCAAGGGGAAGGATATTGCAAAATCTCCATTCTCTCCCCACTCCAGGGGAAGGATACTGCAAAATCTCCATTCCCATCCCACTCCAGGGGAAGGATACTGCAAAATCCCCATTCCCATCCCACTCCAGGGGAAGGATATTGCAAAATCCCCATTACCGTCCCACTCCAGGGGAAGGATACTGCAAAATCCCCATTCCCATCCCACTCCAGGGGGAAGGATATTGCAAAATCCCCATTCCCATCCCACTCCAGGGGAAGGATACTGCAAAATCCCCATTCCAACCCCACTCCAGGGGAAGGATACTGCAGGGGAAGGATACCATTCCTTCCCCACTATGTATGTCTAGTTTGATGAAAAGAAGAACGAGGGGAGACATGATAGCAGTCTTCTGATATCTCAGAGGCTGCCCCAAAGAAGAGGCAGTCAAGCTTTTCTCCAAAGCACCTGAGAGTAGAACAAGAAGCAATGGATGGAAACTCATCAAGGAGAGAAGCCACTTAGAACCAAGGAGAAATTTCCTGACAGTGAGAACAATTAATCAATGGAATAACTTGCCTGCAGAAGTTGTGAATGCTCCAACACTGGAAGTTTTTAAGAAGAGGTTGGATAACCATTTGTCTGAAGTGGTGTAGTGTTTCCTGCCTAAGGAGAGGGTTGGACTAGAAGACCTCCAAGGTCCCTTCCAACTCTGTTATTCTATTCTATATATAAATATTTCCCCTCTCCCCCAAGGAAAGGATTTTTAGAGAGCGGAAGCAGCATAGAAAAGGTACCATTTATTTTCCCCTGGCCAATCACTTCTTTCCCACATTCCAAGATTCCAAGAAGACACAATTTGAGAACTGCCTCGGGTAAAAAGCCACTGGGAGAAGGAATTACAAAGGGGAAAATCGACTCTGTCCAGGAAATCAAGAAGACACCTGGATCCTCTGCCAGTATCTTGTCTTCTCCCATCTCCCCTCCCTGCCAAATGAAGTTAGCGTAATCGCCTATTTAAACGTGCAGCCCTGAGGGCCATGAAATCAATTTGCTGGTAATAAAAACACCTTTCATCAAAGCCTCATTAGCAGGCTCCGGAAGAGAAAGGCTGTTTAAAGAAGCTGGTTGTTGAATGCCTGAACTCCTACAAAGCCACAGGGAAGAGGTTGGGTATTCAAGGCAACTGTGAAGGGAGTCCTTTTTAACAGCAATAGCACTTAGACTTATATACCGCTTCACAGTGCTTTACAGGCCCTCTCTAAGCTGTTTACAGAGTCAGTCTGTGGCCCTCAACCATCTGGGGTCTTCGTTTTACCGACCTCGGAAGGATGGAAGGCTGAGTCAACCTTGAGCCAGTCAGGATCGAACTGCTGGCAATCGGCAGAATTAGCCTGCAATATTGCATTCTAACCACTGTGCGACCATGGGGAGGGAGGGAGGGAGAAGGAAGGAAGGAAAGAAGGAAGGAAGGAGGGAGGGAGGGAGAAAAGAGAGGGAGAGAAAGAAGGAAGGGAAGGAAGCAAGGAAGCAAGCAATAGCAATATCACTTAGACTTATATAATATACCGCTTCACAGTGCTTTACAGGCCCTCTCTAATCGGTTTACAGAGTCTGCATCTTGCCCTCCAACAATCTGGGTCTCCATTTTAACCACCCCGGAAGGATAGAAGGCCGAGTCAAACTTGAGCCAGTCAGGATTGAACTACTGGCAGTGGGCAAAATTAGCCTGCAATACTGCAATCTAACCACTGAGCCACCATGGCAACAGAGGGAGGGAGGAGGAAAGAAGGAAGGAAGGAAGGAAGGAAGGAGAAAAGAGAGGGAGAGAAAGAAGGAAGGGAAGGAAGGAAGGAAGGAAGCAATAGCAATATCACTTAGACTTATATACCCCTTCACAATGCTTTACAGGCCCTCTCTAAGCAGTTTAGAGTCAGTCTATGGCCCTCAACAATCTGGGTCCTCATTTTACCGACCTCGGAAGGATGGAAGGCCGAGTCAAACTTGAGCCAGTCAGGATCGAACGACTGGCAGTGGGCAGAATTAGCCTGCAGTACTGCATTCTCACCACTCTTAATGTTAGAAAAATGTTATTGAAGGTGCTCCCATGAAGAAGTGGGGGGGGGGGGTTTCAACCTATTCTCCAAAGCACCTGAGGGCAGAACAAGGAGCAACGGATGGAAACTAATCACGGAGAGAAGCAACCTAGAACTAAGGAGAAATTTCCTGACTGTGAGAACAATTAACCAGGGGAACGACTTGCCTCCAGAAGTTGTGAATGCTCCAACACTGGAGGTTTTTAAGAAGAGATTGGACAACCATTTGTCCAGGATGGTGTAGGGTCCCCTACTTGAGCAGGAGGTTGGATAGAAGACCTCCAAGCTCCCTTCTAGCTTTTGATTCTATGTATCTCTTCCAAATAGGGACGTGGTGGCTCAGTGGCTACGACACTGAGCCTGTCAATCAAAAAGTCGGCAGTTCAGCAGTTCGAATCCCTAGTGCCGCGTAAGGGGGTGAGCTCCCGTGACTTGTCCCAGCTTCTGCCAACCTAGCAGTTCGAAAGCACATAAAAAATGCAAGTAGAAAAATCAGGACCACCTTTGGTGGGAAGGAAACAGCGTTCTGTGCGCCTTTGGCGTTGAGTCATGCCGGCCACATGACCACGGAGACGTCTTCGGACAGCGCTGGCTCTTCGGCTTTGAAACGGAGATGAGTACCGCCCCCTAGAGTCAGGAACGACTAGCACATATGTGCGAGGGGAATCTTTACCTTTACCTTATCTCCTCCAAGGTGCAGTCGTAAAGTGCCTCTCATTAAAAAGGGGTGCAAACATACCACACTCCTGAATGTGTGATGCCACCAAGCAACACATAACAGGAGGGGATCCGTGTTAGTCTCTGGCAGCAGAAAATCAGGAGACGGCTGAGAACATCTTTTCCGGCTAACAATTTTTATTGAAAGGTTTTTAATGCATCCGATGACGGGAGCTGCCACTTGCAAACTCTTACGCCTTTGAATAAAGCATAAATATATATATATATTTAAAAAAACTCCTCCTTTTTTGGCTGCCAAGTAACAAAAGCAGCTAGGAAGATTCTTAATAAGCAAAAGCAAAGGACTTTTTATAATATCCATTTGTGTTTTCTCATGCCGGCCTGGAAAAATTCAGAGAAGAAGCAGATTGTGGTGTTTTTTTGTTTTTTTTTAAAAGATGTTCTGCTTTTGTCTCCGGTCTGCTGTCATGATGCAATTACCTTTCCTAAATTAGTCTTCCTTTTACGCTGACGGCTATTCAAGTTAGAAGCAGGGCCTCCCGAACCGCGTGGAAATGAGCCCCTGTCTGTTTATGTCCTATTTTCATCGGCAAAAATCTTCTTTGAATCAACTTGGATGAGCTGCCCACCGTTTTTTTCTGAAGGAATCATGTCTAAAGGTCTCGGGTGAAAGTGAGGAGAAGGCGAAGTTCCTTTTTCTCTCCAGTTTGCTCTGCAGAGGCATCCTTTGATTCTCCCTCCTGCCTTTCTGCTCAAGCAGCTTCCACCTTGCAAAACAAGCAAGCAGGCAAAGGGCAGCCCGATCGATCTGCTAAAAGGAACTGAAATTCAATCGCTCTTTTCTTTTGTTGACAGCCGACCCAGCCGTGTAAAACCAGCTCGAACAGTTTGAAAACCTGTGGCTGTTTAAGTCAAAGGTGGTTAGTGACAGGAGGAAGAGAGGGGAGGGGAGGAAGGAAGGAAGGAAGGAAGGAGAAGAAGGAAGGGCAGGGGAGAGGAGAGGAAAGGAGAAAGAAGGAAGGAAGGAAGGAAGGAAGGAAGGAAGGAAGGAAGGAGAGAAAAGGAGAAGGAAGGAAAGAAGGAAGGAAAGAGAAGAAGAAGGACGGGAGAGGAAAGGAGAAGGAAGGAGGGAGGGAGGGGAGAGGAGGGGAAGGAAGGAAGGGCAGAGGAGAAGGAAGGAAGAAGGAAGGAAGGGCAGGGGAGAGGAGAAGAAGAAAAAGGAGAAGGAAGGAAAGAAGGAGGGAAGGAAGGAAGGAAGGAGAAGAAGAAGGATGGGAGAGGAAAGGAGAAGGAAGGAGGGAGGGAGGGGAGAGGAGGGGAAGGAAGGAAGGGCAGAGGAGAAGGAAGGAAGGAAGAAGGAAGGAAGGGGAGAGGAGAGGAGAGGAGAGAAAAGGAGAAGGAAGGAAGGAGGGAAGGAGGAAGAGAAGGAAGGAAGGAGGAAGGGCAGAGGAGAGGGGAAGGAAGGAAGGGCAGAGGGGAGGAGATGAGAAGGAAGGAAGAGGAGAGGAAGGAAGGGAAGAGAAGAGAAGAGAAGAGAAGAGAAGAGAAGAGAAGAGAAGAGAGACACACAAGGAATTTGTCTCCGGTACAGAAGCACTCAGCATACATGCAAAACAACAGAATAATAATAATAATAATAATAATACCAATAAAAGCAGGTAGTAAAGAAGATGATAAGAAGGATAATAACAATACTATTGCCATACAACATGGATAAATAGACATAAAAAACACTATTGTGAAGATTAGGTGTTCAGCAGAGTGATGGAACGGGGGGAAAAAACCCGCCTCCGTGTCTGGTTGTTTTGGCGTGCAAAGCCCTATAGCGCCATCCCAAGGGGAGGAGTTGAAACAGTTTATGTCCAGGATGCAAGGGATCTGTAGATATTTTTCTCAGCCCTCTTTCTGATCTGTGCAATATATTCGTCTTCAGTGGAAGCAATGGCTTTCTCCAGAGACAGCTCGGCCAACTTGCGATCCCATAAACACAGACCTGTCACATTTCAGTGCTCAACGTCTCCCTCGAGAACCCGTTTTGAAAGTCAATTCCCTTCCATCAAAGGGTGATGAGGTCCGTGAGAAGGAAGGAAAGGATATCGCTCGGCCCTGGGATTTTGCTTAGATTGCTTTTTTTCCCCCATTTTTATAGCTTCTAATCTATTTCTTCCTCTCTACCTTTTCCATCCATTGCATGCTGCGTCCACGTCAACTCAACCCACAGGAGAGGCTCCTGTGGCTGATTGATTTGATGGAGGTGAGCAATTTCTGTGTTTTATTTATTTATTTTTATTAATTTATTATTTGTCAAACACGTATAAGATAACGGATATAAGTATAAACATGATTATGCATACAGGATAAGGATACAAATAAATGGGGACAGTAGGAGAAGGACGGAAGGCACGCTGGTGCGCTTATGCACGCCCCCCTTACAGACCTCTTAGGAATGGAGTGAGGTCAACAGTAGACAGTCTAAGGTTAAAGTTACGGGGGTTTGGGGCAGGGGTGTGTTCCAGGGGTGAAATCCAGCAGGTTCTAACAGGTTCGGGAGAACCCGTAGCGGAAATTTTGAGTAGTTTGGAGAACCAGCAAATACCACCTCTGACTGGCCCCAGAGTGGGGTGGGAATGGAGATTCTTCCCCAGGAAGGGAGGGAATGGAGATTTTGTAGTATCCTTCCCCTGGAGTAGGGTGGGAATGGAGATTTTGCAACATCCTTCCCCTGCCATGCCCACCAAGCCACGCCCACAGAACCGGTAGGGGGGAAAAATTGGATTTCACTGTGTGTGTTCTACTTACCTTACTACCAGTTTGTATGTCAACTGAAAATAGATAAACTGTTTTTTTAAAAAAGAATGGAATTTGTGGTACATAATCAACCAAGAGCCTTGGTAGTACAGGGGTTTAAGGCACCCTGTTATTAAGCTTATTAAGACCAGCTGCCTGCAATTACTGCAGGGTTCGAATCTCGCCAAGGCTCAAGGTTGACTCAGCCTTCCATCCTTTCTAAGGTAGGTGAAATGAGGACCCAGTTTGTGGGGGCAATAAGCTGACTTTGTATAAAATATACAAAAATATTTGTATAAAATATACAAAAGGATGAAGGCTATTGCTGAGCACATTGTAAGCCGCCCTGAGTCTTCGGAGAAGGGCGGCATATAAATCAAATTAAAAAAAAAAAAAAATCCATCCATCCATCCATCTATCCATAACGAATGGAAGAAGTTGGTAAATTGGGAGGTTGGCTTCGATGACGAGAGCCGTGTTTTAAAACAGGGAAGCTGTGCCTCAATTTATGAACGCGGTTTTCCTTTCTCCTTGAAATGCACTTAAGCACTTAAGGGTTGTTTTAATGTTTAATTTTGTTTAATTAGGCAGCGAAATTTCATTAAGGAGGAACGCACCTTCGGATGGCATTCGGAGGCATTCTCATCTGTCCAATAATCTGAAACGTCAAGAATTTTTTTTTTATTTATTTAAAAAAAGAGGGGGAGAGGTAGAAATAAAATTGGAACCGATTCCTGCAGGCTGCTTCCAATTGGGAGGGCAAATATTTATTTTCCTGCCGTGTTTTTTTTTTTTAAATTTGATTTATATGCCGCCCTTCTCCGGAGACTCAGGGCGGCTTACAATGTGCTCAGCAATAGCCTTCATCCTTTTGTATATTTATACAAAGTCAGTTTATTGCCCCCACAAACTGGGTCCTCAATTTATCTACCTTAGAAAGGATGGAAGGCTGAGTCAACCTTGAGCCTTGGCGAGATTCGAACCCTGCAATAATTGCAGGCAGCTGGTCTTAATAAGCTTAATAACAGGGTGCCTTAAACCCCTGTACTACCAAGGCTCTTTTTCCTTACAGGGTAGCTTCTCCTTGAGCTAACGGTCCCGTTTGACCGAATTTCATTCGGCGCACCGTTTTGCTGCTGACGGTTGATCATTGCTTGGGGAAAAAAATATATATATATTCCTTTCCGTTTTGCTTCTTGCTCTCCAGGTTTTGTCAAACAGCAACCTTCTAGCCCAGCCTGGCTCCTGTGTCACTTTCCTCTTAAGGATTTCTCCAATCGCTGTCATGTTTTATTAGCGGGGGGTTAATTGTGCTTTGTACTAATTGAAAACAGCTCAGGCTGATCACGGAGGTTCGTTGCTTCCCAAATTGGCTTTAAAAACGGAGCCAGTCACAATGGGGGGAAGTGGCAGGGTGGTTTTTCTTCTTTCTTTCTTTCTTCTTTCTTTCTTTCTTTTTCTTTCTTTCTTTCTTTCTTTCTTTCTTTCTTTCTCCCTTCCTTCCTTCCTAATCTCCTTTCCCCCTTCCTCCCTTCCTCCCTTTTTCTTTCCTTTTCTTTTTCTTTCTTTCTATCTTTCTATCTTTCTCCTTTTTCTTTCTTTCTTTCTCCCTTCCTTCCTAATCTCCTTCCCTTCCCTTCCTCCTCCCTCTTTCTTTCTTTCTTTCTTTCTTTCTTTCTTTTTTCTTTCTTTCTTTCTTTCTTTCTTTCTTTCTTTCTTTCTCCCTTCCTTCCTAATCTCCTTTCCCTTTCCCTTCCTCCCTCCCTCTTTCTTTCTTTCTTTCTTTCTTTCTTTCTTTCTTTCTTTCTCCCTTCCTTCCTAATCTCCTTTCCCTTTCCCTTCCTCCCTCTCGCTATCCCTCCTTTTCTTTCTTTCCTTCTTTCTTTCTTCCTTTCTTCCTTCCTTCCTTCCTCCCTCCTTTTTTCTTTCTTTTCTTTTTCTTTTTTCTTTCTTTCTCCCTTCCTTCCTAATCTCCTTTCCCTTCCCCTTCCTCCCTCCCTCCCTCTTTCTTTCTTTCTTTCTTTCTTTCTTTCTTTCTTTCTTTCTTTCTTTCTTTCTCTTTCTCCCTTCCTTCCTATCTCCTTTCCCTTTCCCTTCCTCCCTCTTGCCATCCCTCCTTTTCTTTCTTTCCTTCTTTCTTTCTTTCTTTCTTTCTTTCTTCCTTCCTTCCTCCCCCCCCTTTTTTTCTTTCTTTTCTTTTTTCTTTCTTTCTCCCTTCCTTCCTAATCTCCTTTCCCTTCCTCTTCCTTCTTTCCTCCCTCCCCCCTCCTTCCCTTTCTTTCTTTCTTTCTTTCTTCTTTCTTTCTTTCTTTCTTTCTTCGTTCCTTCCTTCCTTCCTTTGCCAATTCTTCCTGAGGTTTCTTGGATTTTTTTGGGAAACCTGTGATCGACTGCCCCCTTGTGCATCAAGTAGAAGTTGGTTGCGACTTAGGCAAGAAGCCAGGCGAGGAGATTTGAGGTAGAAGAAAGGACTTTGAAGGGAGAAGAAAAGATGTGGTGGGCGAGGAGTAGGGATTTGACAGTTGCCTTCATTATGAAATGGCCAGAGTGATGAGAGAGAGAGAGGGAGAAGGAGAATCGAGAAGAGAAGGATGGATTGAGATACTTAGTAAGAGATAGAGATATAGAGAGAGATGGATGGATAGATAGATAGATAGATAGATAAATAGATAGATAGATAGATAGATAAGCAGGCAGAGAGAGAGAGAGAGAGAATAGATAGATGAAAAAGAGAAAGGTGGATTGAGATCCTTAGTAAGACAGACACACACACAGAGAGAGATAAGGTAGGTAGATAGGCAGGCAGGCAGAGAGAGAGAGGAATAGAGGAATAGATGGATGGATAGATACAGGAATGGAGCATAGATAAATGAAAAATGAAAAATGATAGATAAATAATAAATAGCTGGGTAGATAGATAAATGGATGGGTAGGAGAGAGAGAGAGAGAGAGAGAGAGAGAGAGAGAGAGAGAGAGAGAGAATGAATAAATAACTGGTGGCATCTTGGCTTTGTGTGACCTTTGTATGCAGTTTTCCTGGTTCCTTAGGCTTCCCAATCTATTAAAAAAATCACTATATTTAATCTTACAAGAGTGATGGTAAAAGGTAAAGGTAAAGGTTCCCCTTGCACATATGTGCTAGTCGTTCCCAACTCTAGGGGGCAGTGCTCATCTCCGTTTCAAAGCCGAAGAGCCAGCACTGTCCGAAGACTCAATGCCAAGGGTGCACAGAACGCTGTTACCTCCCCACCAAAGGCGGTCCCTATTTTTCTACTTCCATTTTTTACCTGCTTTCGAACTGCTAGGTTGGCAGAAGCTGGGACAAGTCACGGGAGCTCACCCCGTTATGCGGTGCTAGGGATTCGAACCACTGACCTGCCGACCTTTCGGTCGACAAGCTCAACGTCTTAGCCACTGAGCCACCGTGTCCCTGAGAGGGATGGTATGGACTTTTAATTCAACCCAATGACAGTGTCTATTTCCAGTGCCTTTTGCTGCTGATACTCAGCCAAAATACAAGATAGGCTCCAATTTCCAAAGTTAGTTGCTCCAACTTTTTATTAGAGAGAGCGACTGAACTATCCTGAATGGAGAAGAGCTTTGCATAATGAAATAGTTTGGGGTTGGATCCCTCGGTAATATCACATTCCTTGGTTTTTTTTTTCCCCTGCTTCCCAGAATTCTTCCGATGGCGGTAGGAGTGGAAGCCAAAACAGGATCAATGCCTTACCTGACATCTCCCTGGTAAGAGAGCATTATCTCAAGGGGTTCTCCACCTGATTGCTCTCCAAGCTTTAATAGTTCTGAGTGGTGTTGATCGATGAAATTATTGCCTTTCTTTCTTCGCATGAAGACCCATCATCCATCGTACCATTTTGTTCTGCTAAAAGAAGTGGAGGTAAGGAGGTGGCAGGAGGCAGAGAGCAGATGACCTTCTGGTACATCCCATTGATGTCACCAGAGTCTCTGCAACTCCTTAAAGCAGCGGAGTTACTTCCCAAGGATGTCCCAGGTTTAATTCCAGTATCCCGCTGGGACATGGATTCTTTAACCGATAGAAGATAATATTTGTAGCTTGTGGTGGACCTCTAAGGCAGGGGTGAAATGCTCCCGGTTCGGACCGGATTGCTGGATCCGGTAGCGATGGAGGCGGGCATTTTCGTAGCAAAAATCCCTGCACCCCCCCCATTGCCCAGCTAAGCTGCGCAATCATCAGAGGCTTTTTTAAAATTTATTTTTAAAAGCATTTTTTCTACAACCGCTTTAACCGAAGAGGTTATGAAAAAAATGTTTTTAAAGGGAAAAAAAAGCCTCTGCCGATCAGGCAAGTCAGCTGGGATCGTCAGAGGCTTTAAAAAAAAAGCTTCTGCTGATCAGGCAAATCAACTGGGATCGTCAGAGGCTTTTTTAAAAAAAAACAAAAGCCTCTGCCGATCAGGCAAGTCAGCTGGGACGGTCAGAGGCTTTAAAGGCATTTTTTTTTTACAACCACTGCTCTAAGGTCCTTATGCACTTGGTGGTTTTTCTGCAGACATTTCAGGACCCAACTCGGTAACATCATCAGTGCTAGGAGGTAATGGGTGGAGAGGGGGAGGAGGAGGGGGAGTAGGAGGACTGTGGGGTCCTCGGTGCTCTCTGAGTTTGGTGATTTTTTGCAGATATTGGATTACCTAACCAGGTAACATCTTCAATGCTGGAAGGGAATGGGTGGAGGGGAGAAGGAAGAGGAAGAGGAAGAGGAGGAGGACTGCAGGATCCTTGGTGCTCTCTGAGCTTGTAGTTTTCTTGCAGACATTTCATTACCAAACTAGGGAACATCATCAGTGCAAGGGATTCCTTATATCCGTGATGGTGAACCTATGGCACACGTGCCACAGGTGGCATGCGGAGCCATCTCTGCGGGCACGCGAGCCGTTGCCCTAGGTTGCCTTCACTACGCATGTGCGTGTGCCGGCCACCTGATTTTCAGCTGGGCATGCCCACGCTGCCCCTCCCTCTCAGGAGTCCCCACACAGCCTGTTTTGGATGCAGGTAAGTCCAGAGCGCATCTGAAGGCTCAGGGAGGGTGAAAAACGGGCCTACCAGAAGTTCGTTTCCAGCCTCCGGAGCCTGGCGAGGCCATTTTTGTCCTCCGGAGGCTCGAGAAAAACCCCTGGAGCCGGGGAGGGCAAAAATGCCCTCCCCCTTTGCACTGTGGTGTGGGAGGCTGACTAGGCCATGCCCACCATGGCCACGGCCACCCAGCAACCAAGTAAAGAACCCCTTGCTATAATTTTTGAAGCCCTGGCAAGGTCCTTCCCTCAGTTGGAACTGTTGTGGATTTAATAAGACAAACACAACTTTTGGATTAATCAGAGACAATTTTATATATTGTGCAATAGGTTCAAAGCTCTGTACATGAAGCGTTGAACAAAGACAGAAATTAGGTACAATGGTTTTATACCCTTCTAGACAAAGGATTCTGTTAACTCAGCAATTCATGTGGTCATATACATTTGTCATTTTTAATTGACATTTCCTAATTACTGAGTTTCTTTGCAAAACAGTTATAATTCTTTTTGTAGATTACCGAAGCATAGACTCAAATCATCTTCTGACGATAGACAACTTTTAACTCATGTGGATCCCCTTGACCTAACCAACCCTTAAGCTGTATGTCATTAGAATGTTCCTTTCTTCTGACAACTTAGAGGCCTCCTAGAGGAACCAAAAGGATTTTGGCTGAGTTTGTACTTTTTCCAACCGGATGCATTGCTTTTTTAGAATAGAGTGAATAGAAAGTTATCCAGTGGTCATCTATCAGAGCCCGCTTCATTTACATTAGAACATCCACCCCTGACATCTCCCTCAGAACGGAAGGATGGCCCTCAGCCTGAAACGACCTGGCCCTCTCCTGCTCTTGCGGCCACGTCTGAATCTTCTTCCCTCCATTCCTTCCTTCTTTAGGACGATGTCTCCTCTTTCTATGAAGAACTTCCAGCTTTTAGGCCCTCCCCTCCTGCTCCGTCCTCTCAATCGCGGGCAGATCCTTCAGACCAAGCACACAAACCCAGTTCGGGATCTTCTGAATCTTCCCAGTCGGGGCTGTTCTTCATGGCTCCTCAAAGCCCCATGCCATCTTCCAGCCTCTCCGAGAAGGACACCCACAGCCTGGCCTCCAACTCCACCACTGGCTCTTCCATGGAGGACTCGGCCTCCAGCTCCATCTACGCGTCCATCTCTCCGGCGACTCGCATTTCGAGGAAGCCCACGGAGGCCCGATTGTTGACGCTCAACCAGCACCCCATGCTACCTTTCCCTCGGATCCAGTCGCCCTCCCGGTTAAAACAGCCTTCCCCTGAGGCGGCTGGCACGGCCCCAAGCTCCCCTACCCATCTACCCCTTCCCGCCCACCGGCTGCTTTCCCTCCCGGCGAGAAAAGCAATTTTGAAGTGGGGAATACTCAGCACTTTATCATGGTTGAAGTTCATCGGCCAAATAGAACCAGATGTGAATGAAGTCAAGCCATTGCCTCAAGCTAGAGGTGAGCACTTTGAAATCCTTCTTTGTCTCATCTCCTTCCTTCCTTGTTGTCTTCCTTGCTTCTTTCCTTGTTTCCTTCCTTCCCTGATTTTTCCTCTTTTTTTCTTCCTTCCTTCCTTCTCTAACTCTTCCTTTCTACCCTCCTTGGTTCTCCGAGGAGCTGAGGGAGATGAATCGCCAGAAAAGACGCCTAGAGAGCAGTTAGAGATCTAGTCGCTCCGAACCTGAGCGAACACTGCTAAGATCTCATATTAAGACTTACCTAGTGGCGATAAAAGCGGCAAAATGTAACTATTTTTCCGCTCTTATCGCAGATAATCACCCGGCCGCCCTGTTTAGGGTGACCCGCTCCCTCCTCCATCTGGGAGCGTGGGAGGATCCCTTGCAGGGTCGTGCTGAGGATTTTGTTCAGTATCTGCACGATAAAATCACTCAGATTCGGGAAGGCTTAGTCTCTGACTGGGTAGGTACAGACGGGATGATGGGTGCCGGTCTTGAGACTGTCATTTGGGAGGGGTTCGATCCTGTTGCTCCCGAGGACGTGGACAGGATACTCAGGTTGGACTGGAAGACCTCGAAGGTCCCTTCCGACTCTGCTATTCTATTAATCGGTAGAATGCCTTGCCTTCAGAAGTTCTGGGTGCTCCCATCACTGGAGATTTTTAAGAAGAGACTGGACAGCCATTTGTCTGAGCAGGGGGTTGGACTAGGAGCCTTCCAAGGTCCCTTCTGATTCTGTTATCCTATAATCCCAGTATCGATTAACCAGTGGAACTGCTTGCCACCAGAAGTTGTGGGTTCTCCATCACTGGAGGTTGATAAGAATCCAACTCTGTTATCCTGTTCTCAGCAGCCTTCCCTTTCTTTCTTTCTCTGCTCTGCTGCTTCCTTAACAGCTTGTCTCTCACCGTTTCCCATCCCAGCCTCCACGCTCTCCCAGCTCTCGGACAGCGGGCAGACGCTGAGCGAAGACAGCGGCGTTGATCTGGGAGAAGCGGAGCTGAGCACCAGCAGAGAGAGGAGTCAGCGGCTGCAGGGCCTGCCACCAGCACGAAGTCCCCAGGGAGTCCCCAGAGTGGGCAGAGCGGTAGAGGCAGGACCCAAACCGGTGAGGCATCCCTCGGGCACGAGCACCAGCAACAGGCAAAGCTGCAGCAGCTCCCACCCCATATTAGAGTAGAGTAGAGTAGAGTAGAGTAGAGTAGAGTAGAGTAGAGTAGAGTGTGGAGTGGAGAGTGGAGTGGAATGGAATGGAATGGAACGGAACGGAACGGAACGGAACAGAATAGAATAATGAAGAATAATGAAGAACAGAATATGGAATGCAATGAAATGCAATGCAATGGAATAGATTAAGGAATAGAATAAGAATAGAATAGAATAGAATAGAATAGAATAGAATAGAATAGAATAGAATAGAATAGAATAGAATAGAATAGAATATGGAATGGGAATGGAATGGAATGGAATGGAATGGAATGGAATGGAATGGAATGGAATGGAACGGAATGGAACAGAATAGAATAATGAAGAATAATGAAGAATAATGAAGAACAGAATATGGAATCCAATGCAATGCAATGGAATGGAATAGATTAAGAATAGAATAAGAATAGAATAGAATAGAATAGAATAGAATAGAATAGAATAGAATAGAATAGAATAGAATAGAATAGAATAGAATAGAATAGAATAGAATATGGAATGGAACGGAACGGAACGGAACGGAATATAATAATGAAGAATAATGAAGAATAATGAAGAATAATGAAGAACAGAATATGGAATGCAATGCAATGGAATGCAATGGAATAGAATAGAATAGAATAGAATAGAATAGAATAGAATAGAATAGAATAGAATAGAATAGAATAGAATAGAATAGAATAGAATAGAGGTTTAGGTTTTGCTTTAGGTTTTCTGCCCAAGGCAAAATTAGAACTTGGGACCTTCCGGTTTCTAGACTGGTGTTTTAACCACTATCCCAAACTCCCCCTTAGGCAAGGAGAAGGGGATGAAAACTCAAGATGAAACACGTCCTCGTGTTTTATAAAAAATAAATGTCGCTATCCGCCGGTGAATTTCACATTTTAATAGCGTAATTATAGAACATTTGCGCTTACTCAAAACAGCATCGATTTTGGCAGAAATTGAAGGCCACGTTTCTCCACTAGAGGGCAGCATTGCCTTTCAAATTTAGGAAAAGAAAAGAAAAAAAAATGCAACAACACACGTAACCTCTGTAGAAAGGCCTTCCCCAGGAAAGATTCGAGATTTTAGTAAAAGTTTTGGAGATGAGTCCTTCGCGTCCATCATTCCCGTGCCAACTTCGCTCGTTTCTCCCACTGATGTTCTCCTCCTCTCCGTCTCTCTACAGCCAGGACTCCTGGAGCCAACTTCCCATCTAATCCGTGTGTCGAAGAGCGCCCCGACCTTGGGCATCGCCATCGAGGGGGTGCAAACACGCGACAGCCCCTGCCCAGGATTGTCACCATCCAGGTATGGTGGACCATACCAGGGGTTCCTCAAGGAAGTGGGGTCCTCTGGTCCTTGGAAAGGACACCTAAGGAAATTATTTTTGGTAAGAAGGGTTAGAAAAATGCTGAGACGTTTTCTCCATAGCTTTGCTCTCCGACTGGTCCTGACCTTGAAGAGCCAAAGAAAGAGACTTTGTGATAAATTCTTCCCCTAAATTCCAACAAAACTTCTGAATTGTTCTTTTTTTTCCCCTTCTTTCTTTCTTTCTTTCTTTGTTTCTTTCTTTCCTTCCTTCCTTTTCTTTCTTCCTGCCTTTCTGTCTTCCTCCAATTGCTCTATCTTGCCTTTCTTTCTCTCTTCCTCTCTCCTTCCTTCCTTTCTCTTTGCTTTCTCTTTTTTCTCTTTCTACTTCCTTCCTAACTTTTCTTTCATTCCTTCCTTTCTTTCTGCCTTCCTCCAATTGCTCTATTTTGCCTTTCTCTCTTCCTCTCTCCTTCCTTCTTTCCTTCCTTCCTTCTTTCTTTCCTTTCTCTTTCCTTTCTTTTTTCTTTCTCTACTTCCTTCCTAACTTCTTTCTTTCTTTCCTTCCTTCCTTTATGCCTTCCTCCAATTGCTCTATCTTACCTTTCTCTCTTCCTCTCTCCTTCCTTCTTTTCCTTTCTCTTTCCTTTCTCTTTCCTTCCTTCCTTCTTTTCTCTTTCCTTTCTCTTTTTTCTTTCTCTCTTTCTACTTCTTTTCTAACTTTTTTCTTTCTCTCCTTCCTTCCTTTCTGCCTTCCTCCAATTGCTCTATCTTACCTTTCTCTCTTCCTCTCTCCTTCCTTTCTTCTTTCCTTTCTCTTTCCTTCCTTCCTTCTTTCCTTCCTTTCTCTTTGCTTTCTTTTTTCTTTCTCTCTTTCTACTTCCTAACTATTTTCTTTTTCTTTCTTCCTTCCTTCCTTTCTGCCTTCCTCCTATCGCTCTATCTTGCCTTTCTTTCTCTCTTCCTCTCTCCTTCCTTCCTTTCACTTTGCTTTCTTTCTTTCCTTCCTTCCTTTCTTCCTTCCTTTCTCTTTGCTTTCTCTTTTTTCTTCTCTTTCTCCTTTCTTCCTAACTTCCTTTCCTTCTCTGCTCTCTCTTGTCTTTTCCTTCCCTGCCACAGAAGGGCGGTTCTGCTCACAACTGCGGCCAGTTGAAGGTGGGCCAAGTAATCCTGGAAATCAATGGCACGGCCCTCTGCGGGAAGGAGCACCGCGAAGCTGCTCGTATTATTGCCGAGGCTTTCAAGACGAAAGAGAAGGATTACATCGATTTCCTCGTCACAGAATTTAACGTTGCACTTTAGGGGTCTGGAAGACCCCAAAGCCAAAAGACCAAGAGATGGGAGGAAAGAATAGGGTTACGAGATGTCCGATGTGCCCAGTTGCGTGCACGCTGTCAGGATTCCGACGGATGCCTCGAGCCAAGCTTCAAAAGAAATCCAGTTATTTATTAGGAGCTTCATGTCGGAACGTTTCAGGTGAAGCCAACTCCGGCCCCACGTAATTTACGTCCCAATCATGACCCTGTTTCCCCCCCTCTCCCAAGGTGTGTCATCAATCACATTCGCCAATGGAGCAATTTTGCGGATTGTAGAGATCATTCCCCTCCGGCTGCTTTAGGTAACTCTGGGCAACAGCCTTGAGAAAGATATGTCTGGAATGTGCTCCTGTCTTTGGCTGCTTCGTCGGTTTCATATCCCCCTTGCCTATGGCAACTCGAGAGCAGGCCAGGGATGCTTTGCGAGTTGACACACACCTGTACACCCAGGTAGAGCCTAGACAGGATTTCCCACCGAGCAAATGTAGGGTTGGATTGACCTCTCCTCAACATAATTTCTCTCTGCTAACGGCTCCCCAATCTTGATAGACTTTGAGAAGCCCATCATCCTTCTTCCCAGCGACCATCCTTAACTGGTTCGTAAACCACCAGCTAGCTCACCTGTCTCTACTCCTCTGCCTCCGTCTTCGAATAACCTGGCAAGGCACCTGTCTGAAAATATCACTTGCTTCCTCTCGTAGCTCTTCCTACCTTCTTCCCCTTGTATCTTACGGGAACATCTTACAATCATGGCAGGTCCCAGTTTGGGCAGGAGAAGATCCGGGCACCATCAGAGGGAAGTAAAACCATCCGTGGATTCTGATTCCGATGTTTTCGGATTTCGTCCCAGTTGATTGACGCCTCTGCAGTGACCTTCTCCGGATTCCGCCTTGTCGTCGGTCCCTAGCCAATAATAATGGGGGGGAACCCTTCAAGATTTCACTATATGTACATAAAAGAGAGACTGTGGTTTAATTTTTCAATAAACGTGTTAGAAAAAAGAACCGCGGCTGTTATTTGATTCCACCAGCTTTTCACCACCATATAAAAAAGATGTTGAGACTCTAGAAAGAGTGCAGAGAAGAGCAACCAGGATGATTAGGGGATTGGAGGCTCAAACATACGATGAATGGTTGCAGGAATTGGGCATGGCTGGTCTAGTGAAGAGAAGGACCAGGGGAGACAGGATTGCAGTCTTCCAATATTTGAGGGGCTCCTACAAAGAGGAGGGGGTCAAACTATTTTTCAAAGCCCAAAAGGCAAGGCTAGGAACCAATGGATGGAAACTAACCAGGGAGAGAAGCAATCTAGAACGAATGAGAAATTTCCTAACGGTTAGAGCAATTAACCAGTGGAACGACTTGCCTCCAGAAGTTGTGGGTGCTCCATCACTGGAGGATTTTTTAAAGAAAAGGCCGAATAGCCACTTGTCTGAAATTGTATAGGACAGTGATGGCGAACCTTTTCGGCACTGAGTGCCCAAACCAAAACGCACATAGATGCATTTGTATGTGTGTGCGCCGGAAACCCAAAAACCAGCTGGCTGGCGCCCGCATGCCTGTTTTGGTGCCATTTTCAGGCTGTTTTTCAGGCCATTTTGAGGCCGTTTTCTGGGCCATTTTGAGGCCGTTTTCTGGGCCATTTTGAGGCGTTTTCTGGGCCATTTTGAGGCTGTTTTTCAGGCCATTTTGAGGCTGTTTTTCAGACCATTTTGAGGCCATTTTCTGGGCCATTTTGAGGCTGTTTTCTGGGCCATTTTGAGGCTGTTTTCTGGGCCATTTGAGGCTGTTTTCTGGGCCATTGTGAGGCTGTTTTCTGGGCCATTGTGAGGCCGTTTTCGGCCCCAAAATGGCCTGAAAATGGCTCTGAAAACCGGCCAGAAAACAGCCCAGAAATAACCTGAAAATGCCCAAAATACGGTCTGTTTTTGGCCATTTTTCTGGTGGTTTTCAGGTGGTTTTCCAGTGCTCCGGCGTGCGTGAATACCAGCTGGCACGCCAGACACCAGAAAAGCAGCTGGTAATGGCACATGTGCCCACAGAGAGGGGCTCTGTGTGCCACCTCTGGCATGTGTGCCATAGGTTTGCCATCACGGGCAGAGGATCTCCTGCTGAAGCAGGGGGTTGGACTAGAAGACCTCCAAGGTCCCTTCCAACTTTTTCTACTTTTTCTACTTTTGCACCAAAACACCCTTCCCACCCATTGGCTAGAAGGCTGTGAAATCACAGAATTCAATCCCCTGCCCCAGATGTCAAAACAACCACCAATATTTTCCTGATCTTAGGCGGCACAGCTCATCCTTGACGTACGACGATATGCTTAAAGCATCCTAGGCATTTTTGTCGCTGTCTGGTTTCAGTTGCATTTAAAAATAGACAGGTGTGTTTTGTTTTCTTGTGGATTTGTGGAAGGGTGGACACTGCTCGTCTTCAGCTTACGACCGCAATTGAGCCCAACATTTATGTCGCCAAGTGGCACCCCAACGATGCCCTTGAAGTGATGTCCCGGTGCCTGGAGGCGGTACAGATCTGGATGGGGAGGAACAGGCTCAGGCTCAACCCATCCAAGACCGAGTGGCTGTGGTTTCCAACGTCCCGATATAGTCAGCTGGTGCCATCGCTGACTATTGGGGGCGAGTCATTGGCCCCCACGGAAAGGGCTCGCAACTTGGGTGTCCTCCTGGATTCACGCTGTCTTTAGAAGAGCACTTGACGGCCGTGACCGGGAGGATTTTTCATCAGGTTCGCCTGATCCGCCAGTTCCGTCCCTTTCTGGATCGGGACTCGTTACGCACGGTCACTCATGCCCTCATCACCTCCTGTCTAGACTATTGTAACGCTCTCTACATGGGGCTCCCCTTGAGGAGCACTCGGAGGCTCCAACTGGCGCAGAGTGCGGCCGCGCGGGTGGTGATGGGAGCAACGTGGCGCTCCCATGTAACGCCTTTCCTGCACGAGCTGCACTGGCTCCCGGTGGTCTTCCGAGTGCGCTTCAAGGTTTTGGTTATCACCTTCAGAGAGCTCCATGGCTTAGGACCTGGTTACCTACGGGACCGCCTGCTACCACCAATAGCCTCCCACCGGCCAGTACGCTCCCATAGAGAGGGGCTCCTCCGGGTGCCGTCGGCCAAACAATGTCGACTGGCGGCCCCTAGGGGGAGAGCCTTCTCTGTGGGGGCACCTACTATCTGGAACGAGCTCCCCCCGGAGATACGGAGGATCCCGGATCTGCATACCTTCCGTCGCGCACTTAAGACGTTCCTATTTCATCAACCTGACCTAAATTTTCCTCTTTTAAATGGGAATTTTAAATTTGGTTTTAAATTATTGGGGTTTTAAAATGGTTCAGCCAAATTTATTTAATTTGTTTTATCTCTATTTTAAATTTTGTATCTATATGTTTTATTTTATGGCTGTTCACCGCCCTGAGTCCTTCGGGAGTAGGGCGGTTTACAAATTTAATTAATTAAAAAAAAAAAAAAGTTGAGAAATTTGTTAAGTCAGTTTGGCCCCATTTTGTGGCTTTTCTGGCCACCGTCGTTAAGGGAATTGCTGCGGTTGTTAAATTAGTAACCCGGCTGTTAAGTGAGCCTGGTCAGAAGGTCACAAAAGGGGATCAGAGAACACTGCTATGGTCATAAGTACGAAACAGTTGCCAAGCGTCGGAATTTTGATCACATGACCATCTGCAAAGGTCGTAACTGTGAAAAATGGTCCTAAGCAGTAGTGAAATTCAATTTTTTTTACTATCGGTTCTGTGGGCGTGGCTTGGTGGGCATGGCAGGGGAAGGATACTGCAAAACCCCCATTCCCTCCCTATTTTTGGGGGAAGGATATTGCAAAATCTCCATTCCCTCCCCACTCCTGGGGGGAGGATACTGCAAAATCCCCATTCCCACCCCACTCCTGGGGAAGGATACTGCAAAATCTCCATTCCCACCCCACTCCTGGGGGAAGGATACTGCAAAAACTCAGTTGCCTTCTGAAGAACTGAAGAGGCTTCTTGGATGAGAAGCGAAACGAACCTTCAGAACCTGCTGATTTCACCTCCTGGTCCTAAGTCTCTTTTTTCAGAGCCCTTGTCACTTCTCGGACAACGGTCACTATAATAAATTTGTTGCCTTCTGAAGAACGAAGAAGCTTCTTGGATGAGAACGAACCTCTTCAAAGAAAAACAGGAATCGGTTGCCTTCCTAAGAACTGAAGAGACTTCTTGGGTGAAAGCGAAACCTCTTCAAAGAAAAACCAGGTTTCCCATTTGCCTTCTGAAGAACTGAAGAAGCTTCTTGACGAGAAGCGAAACCTCTTCAAAGAAAAACCAAGAAGTCCCAGTTGCCTTCTGAAGAACTGAAGAAGCTTCTTGGATAGAAACGAAACCACTTCAAAGAAAAACCAGGTAAGTCCCATTTGCCTTCTGATAACTGAAGAGGCTTCTTGGATAGAAGCGAAACCTCTTCAAAGAAAAACCAAGAAGTCCCAGTTGCCTTCTGAAGGACTGAAGAAGCTTCTTGGATGAGAAGCGAAATCTCTTCAAAGAAAAACCAGGAAGTCCGGTTGCCTTCTGAAGAACTGAAGAGGCTTCTTGGATGAGAAGCGAAACTCTTCAAAGAAAAACCAGGAAGTCGGTTGCCTTCTGAAGAACTGAAGAGGCTTCTGGGATAGAAGCGAAACCTCTTCAAAGAAAAACCAAGAAGTCCCAGTTGCCTTCTGAAGAACTGAAGAAGATTCTTGGATGAGAAGCAAAACCTCTTCAAAGAAAAACCAGGAAGTCCGGTTGCCTCTGAAAAACTAAAGAAGCTTCTTGGACGAGAAGCGAAACCTCTTCAAAGAAAAACCAAGAAGTCCCAGTTGCCTTCTGAAGAACTGAAGAGGCTTCTTGGATGAGAAGCGAAACCTCTTCAAAGAAAAACTAAGAAGTCCCAGTTGCCTTCTGAAGAACTGAAGAAGCTTCTTGGATGAGAAGCGACACTTCTTCAAAGAAAACCCATGAAGTCCCAGTTGTCTTCTGAAGAACTGAAGAGGCTTCTTGACGAGAAGCGAAACCTCTTCAAAGAAAAACCAGAAGTCCCAGTTGCCTTCTGAAGAACTGAAGAAGCTTCTTGGGTGAGAAGTGAAACCTCTTCAAAGAAAAACCAAGAAGTCCCAGTTGCCTTCTGAAACTGAAGAGGCTTCTTGGATGAGAAGCGAAACCTCTTCAAAGAAAAGCCAGGAAGTCCCAGTTGCCTCTTGAGAAAAAAAGCACCTTTGGGACGCATGGCACGCAACTCTCCATTGCAGACAATTGGGTTTGGGGAAATGCCCCACTTTCCAGGGGGATCCGACCTCCCCCCCACCAATTTCCCCCACTGACCCATAACTCCCTGCAGGGAACTATAACTCCCCTTCCTTCCTCCCTCCCTCCCTTCCTCCTTCCTTCCTTCCATCCATCCATCCATCCCTCCGCTTTGGACCCAACGAAAGGCAAGCTTTGCCTTCCATTCAAAACTCTTCTTTTATGTTAATGACGCCCCGCCTCCCTCCAGCTGCCATGGGGGGGGGGGGGGGAGGGCCTTGTCAATCCGCCCCCCCTCTCCCGCCGCGCCCCCCCCCCCCCCCCCCCCACTCCTTTCCAGATGCGTTTCGACACACTTGGGTCTCGTTAGCAAGCCGCCAATTCATAACTCCAGGAAACGACCCGCCCTGTTCAAAACTTCTGCAGCCTTGCAGCAAAACTCCGAAGCCAAGTTGGCTCCAAAGTCAGGAGGCAGGAGGACCAACTTCGCTTGGCCAAGTAAATATTGGGGCTGGGGTTGGGGTGGGGGGCTTCCCGTTGGTGGTGGTGGTGGGGGGTCTGTCTCTCTGCGCTTGGCGGAGGTGCTGGGTTCGCAGACAGATGCGCTAGCATTGCAAGCGTGGCGTTGGGGAGGGGGGGTTTCTTTTAAACAAGGGGCTGGCGACCCCCCCCCCCCCCCGTGCGTCCTCTTTTCTTCCTCGTTTTGAGCGCGCTCTTTTGCATCCTTGGGAGGGTCGTTTCCACGCGAATGGGAACCAGATTTGGGGAGGGAAGGGAGTTGGAGACGTGGCTCTGTTTAGCCACCCGTTGAGACCCTCTTTTTCCCCCCACCCACCCCCGTTTTATTGGGGGATTTCCCCGAAACGAAACCCACCCCCACCCGCCCGCTTTAACCACGGGTTGCTCACCAACCCATCCTTCTTCCTTGCGCGCGGTCGGTGTGTCAAGGATTGAGCCAGCTGTGCCATTTAGAATTTAGAATAACAAAAGAGTTGGAAGGGACCTTGGAGGTCTTCTAGTCCAGCCCCCTGCCCAGGCGGGAAACCCTACACCGCTTCAGACAAAGGGTTACCCAACCTCTGCTTAAAAACTTCCAGTGATGGGGATGCCCTGCGCTGAATTAAAGAATCCACGCTGCCTTCATGAGGGCCAGGAACGTGCTTTGCCTAAGTTGGGTGTTTTGTTTGCCCAGGCTGGATTTGAACCGCCTGTTGCTCTGGTTACCTTGAAGGAGGGAGTGGAGAAAAAAAAAAAGCCACAGCCTGTGGAGAGAAGTCTTGTTAGTTTCATCTCTGCTAAGCAACGGCTGAGAACGCGCTGGGCCTCTGGTGAGCTGATCCGCCTGTCCTTGTAAGAGATTTTAATAAGATTTTTCCCTTCTTCATCAAAGGGGAACTGAAATGAAGGGTTGTTTTTTTTTATTTCAAGGGGTGTCATTCCCCTTGGGGACTTCCTTCCGAGTTATGTTCATGTTAAATCAAGAAGGAAGGAAGCAAATGTTTTCTGGCAAGTGAGAACAATGGAATAACTTTGCCCTCCCGAAGGAGTCGTGGGTGCTCCATCGCTGAAAGTTTTTCAAAAAACAGACTGGACAATCATTCGACGGGGAGGGTATAAAGCTCTTGGCTTGAGCAGGGGTTGGAATAGAAGACCTCTGGGGTCCCTTCAGGCCCTATGAGTCTATAGATAGATAGATAGATAGATAGATAGATAGATAGATAGATGATAGATGATAGATAGATAGATAGATAGATAGATAGATAGATAGATAGATAGTCCATGAGCAGGACAAGAAACAGTGGATGGAAACTGATCAAGGAGAGAAGCTACTTAGAACCAAAGAGACATGTCCTGACGGTGAGAACAATCAATCCGTGGGAAGAAGAGGTTGGATAACCATTTGTCTGAAGTGGTGTAGGGTTTCTTGCCTAAACAGGGGGTTGGACTAGAAGACCTCCAAGATCCCTTCCAACTCTGTTATTTCTCTTCTCTTCTCTTCTTCTCTTCTGTTTCCCCCAAAATAAGACATCCCCTGATAATAAGCCCAATCGGGCTTTTGAGCGCATGGCAATAAGGCCAAGCACTTATTTCAGGGTTCAAAAAAAAATATAAGACGGGGTCTCATTTTCGAGAAAACACGGTCTTCTCTTCTCTTCTCTTCTCTTCTCTTCTCTTCTCTTCTCTTCTCTTCTCTTCTCTTCTCCCTTGTTTCCCCCAAAATAAGACATCCCCTGATAATAAGCCCAATCGGGCTTTTGAGCGCATGGCAATAAGGCCAAGTGCTTATTTCAGGGTTCATAAGACGGGGTCTTATTTTCAGGAAAACACGGTCTTCTCTTCTCTTCTCTTCTCTTCTCTTCTCTTCTCTTCTCTTCTCTTCTCTTCTCTTCTCTTCTCTTCTCTTCTCTTCCAAGACTTGCCTCTAGAAGTTATGGGTGCTCCATCACTGGAGGTTTTCAAGAAGAGACTGGACAGGCACTTGTCTGAAATTGTACTATAGGGTTTCCTGCCTGAGCAGGGGGTTGGACTGGAAGACCTTTTAACTCTGATATTCTGTTATGATTTGCCTGTGCTGGAATGGGTTTCATCTTAACCTTTAGTTTTCTGGGGCTTCCTGGGTTATGTAAACTTTATGGTTCGTTGTCTTGGTGGAAACCTACAACATGGGTGGATTTGGTAACTAGCTAAGGTGCACCAAAAGAGGAAACGTAAAAATCTTAGGATTGGAAGGATGCTGGTCTTGTAATCCATCTCCCTGCACAAGGCGGTTAACTGTTAGGCATGTAAATGACTAACTATGGCTTGGATTTTCACTCTCTGAATAGGAATCCGTGGTGGGTTTTTCCTTCTTCGAATACAAAGTATTCGGAAAAGATTTGGAAAATATGGCCTTGGTTTAAAGAAAGCTTAATGTTTCTTACTCATGCTATTGGATTTACTTCCTTGTAAAAGAATAGAACAGAGCAGAGCGAAGTAGAAATAGGAATAGAATAGAATAGAATAGAATAGAATAGAATAGAATAGAATAGAATTCTTTATTGGCCAAGTGTGATTGGACACACAAGAATTTGTCTTTGGTGCATAAGCTCTCAGTGTACTTAAAAAACAAGATACAAACTTAACAACTACAGTGAGTCAATTAAGAACTGAGGCAAGCAAGGTCATAAAAAGGGGCAAAATTCACTTAACCCAGGTCTCCCTTAACAACAGAAATGTTGGGCTCAGTTGTGGTCATACGTTGTGCTGTCTGGCATGGAGGCTTCTTCTACCACTCTTACATACCTATTTTGGGAATTAGGAAAACCATTTCTTTTAAATCTGGAGCCAAGCTCATTGCTGCCTGGTGTGTGTGTGTGTGTGTGTGTGTATGTATGTATGTATGTATATGTGTGTGTGTATTTGCGCACTTGTGAAGATTAACCAGGTTTTGTTTAAGGGAACAGTGGAGCAGCTCGCTTATCCTAAGGGGTACCAGATGGCTTGCTGTGGACCATGTTCAGGAGAAGAAGGAGAGAGAGAGAAAGAGAGAGGGTGGGAGGGAGAGACAAAAGAGAAAGAGAAAAAGAGAGAGAGGGAGGGAGAGAGAGAGAGAGAATCAGAAAGAGAGATACAGAGAGAGAGAGAGAGATACAGAAAGAGAGAAAGAGAGAGAGAGAAAGAGAAAGAGAGAGAGAGAGAGAAAGAGAGGAAGAAAGAGAGAGAGAAAGAGAGGGAGGGAGGGGAGGGAGAGAGAGAGGAAACCCCAGCAAAAATCCACACGAAATTCGCCCTGTGGCACTTACCAAAAATAATATGGTTATGCAAACAATTTAGTAGAAGAAAACAGTATGGGGGAAGATAAGATCTGTACTGTTAAGAGCTTTCTAACTGTTAAGACTTTTGCACAGCTTCAACATGGTAGCCTTAGCTTCCTTCTCTGTTCCTGAAAGCTTCCGCTGCACCGGAGACCAATTCCTTGTGTGTCCAATCACACTTGGCCAATAAAGAAATCTGTTTGTTTGTTTTTTTAAATTTATCCCTGCCTTTATGTCCAGTTTCTCTTCTCCTTTCTGTTCCCTTTTCCCTGAAATTTAAAAGGTGTGTGTAAGCTTTAGGACAGAAGCCTATCCACTCTCAAGGGAGAAACAGCTAGTATTTTTTTTTTCCCTCTGGTTTTCGAGTTTTATAAACCCTCCTTTGTTCCCAAGAAGCTGCTTTTAAGTCAAGGGTTCTGCAAAATCAGAGCAGCCTGGGAGTCTAGCTGGGTGGATGGGCAGGGGGAAATCCCTTGGCTGCCTTGTGGAATAGGGGTTTTTTTCCCCCCTTTGTTTGAAGCGTGTCTGGTTCTTTTAAGTCGTTAGATGAATAGAATAGAATAGAATAGAATAGAATAGAATAGAATAGAATAGAATTCTTTATTGGCCAAGTGTGATTGGACATACAAGGAATTTGTCTTTGGTGCATAAGCTCTCACTGTACATAAGGAGAATAAAATACATTCATCAAGAATAAAATGATACAACACAGTGAAAGTCAAGATTACTAATAAGCTATCAAATCGTACTAGGAAACAAGTAAAAACAGCACAATTGAAAGATACAAGCAACATGGTTATAGTAATAAGTGGGAAGAGATAGATACTAGGAAGGAAGAGAAGAATAATAGTAATGCAAACCATTAAATTTTCTTGCCTGATTTGGTGTCTCTTTGACCTTGCATTGTCCGTTAATCTTAGAAAAGTCATCTGTGACCTGGGAGAAATCAGATTTTCCTCCCCTCTGCCCCCCTCCGTTTACATTTGGCTGGCTAGCTAAAGTAGGGGCATCTAAGAGAGATGCCCCCAGGCCTTGGTGAGCTTCCCAGCCAGATGTTTGTATAATTGTGGAGGCGGGTAGAGGCTTGCTGCGAATTAGAGGGAGGGGGGATTGAGTGTCTAATGGACAGTTAGTTGGGGTGGGGGAAGAAAAGCAGATGGATATTAATTAGGTTAGCGGTGACAAGACCTGTCTTATTACTGGGGTGAGCTTCAATCAACTCTCTTTGTCTTGCTTGATAAGCAAGGAAGGAGCGAGACTTATCCTTTTATTCGTACAGCTTGCGTTTGTAACACTCAACTGGCAATCTTCACTTTAAAAATGACAACTGTGCTTTGGAACAATAGGAATAGAGAACGTTGTTGCTTTACTGGTTGAGACCAACAGCTGTCCAGTTTTGGATTCTCTGCGGGGATGGAAGGCAGCTGTCCAGAATTTCAGATGGATCGTTTTTTTTCTGAGCCTCATCTGGAGAAGAATTGAATGCGTGACTTATTTAGCCGGTCATACTAGATCTTCTCTCCTGGACGACAATGTTTTGCATTCAATCAGTGTCACTGTAATTAAATTCTTGGAGGTCCCCTCTGCCTTTTTAAGAGTTTCCGAAATGCCTCCCTGTAGAATTCTGGTCAAAGGTTCCAAAATCCATCAATAATGGATGTGTAGGGGAAAAAAAAAAACCAGGCAGAGCTGTGGGTGGAGTTA